AGTTAGGATGGGAATTGCTGGGAAAGTAGGGAGACAGCATGAGAACACTGGTTGCCCAGATGAGAAGGTTGATGCAAGGTAGAAAGGAACTGAGGATTCACTCGGTCTCCTTCACAGTGTGGTCTCCAGTCAGTCCAGTCTTATAGACTGTGTAGGGTATGTTGGCAGAGCTGGTCTAGAAGTTGCTAGGGAGGGGACTGGCCTCCCTTTATTAGGATCTGTCAGCTCCAAGTGTCCCCTTCTCCATCCTAGGTTATATAGGAGAAGTGGGTAGGTTGATCCTTTTTGCTTAAAGTTAATCACTTTTCTCCATTTGAGGCCCTATCATTTGCCCATTCAGAGATGCCCAATGCCTTTCAGGACCTTTGTAGGTTAGTCCTAAGTTAGTTGGGGAATTGAAAGGGATGGTGAGTAGTGTGTTGTCCCATAAATACCTTCAGAAAGAGGGGTCAATAGGTCGTTGTCGTCCTACCAGTCCTACCACTGGCTTGACCTCTTTACCATCCAGAGCTAATTCTCTAAAGGGAGATTTTTCTGGACTTGACTAACATCATGGGACAGTGGAAAGAGTACTGACCTTAGCTTCTTGATCTCAAAAATGAGAAGGTTGGACCAGATGACCTCTGAGGTCTCTTCTAATGCTAAGTCTATGATCATGTGATCTGTGATCCTCCGAGCTGGCCTTTGGTTCTAAGGCCACGTCAGTAGCTTTCCTGGGGAACTTTTTTTAATGATTCCCTGGAAATGGGTGATTGTCCTAGGTAGGGGCTGGGAACAGGTTGCTATGGCAGCCCTGGCTGGAAATTTCCTGCTGCTGTCCAGGATGAGGAACCAGGCAACTGTTCTGTATTGATGTAAGGGGTGATAAGAAAAGTACCTGCAGCACCTCTGATCAGCTCTGTTCCTGCATTTCCTGGAGGAGGGCCTGAAGCATCTGGGAGGCATGAGCCTCCCTGGCCTGCTGTAGCCCTTCTGGTACTCGCATTGCAGAGGTACTCTGTTGGCTTGGGTAGTTTTCACCTCCAGAATTAGAGCAAAGTCTGAAAGAGCTATCTAAACAATGGGATGATTTGGCAAGAGATCCAAGCCTGATTACAGTTCATAGCAAAGAATGGTATGGAGTTACACGAATCCCCACTGAGGCCCTAACCAACCTGCTTATGAAGGTGATAGCCAGCAAAGACCAACAGGGATCTGATGGTGGATATGTGTCTGGGCCTTAGCTTTCCAGATGCTAAAGTTTGTAACCTATGTCTCTGGTGTTTAGAACCATCTTAGATCTATCTTCATTTTGATGGATTTTCTCACTAACTATCCATGTCAAATATCTTTTCTGCAGAAGGTCAGGGAGAATAGATAGATCTAATTGAGCTCTAAATGCTAGCAAATGTTTTTCTTTTGGCCTAAGTCTAATCTAAGGAGGATTTGCAAAATGAACAGTAGAGGCTCTCAGTTCCTCCTTAATTTTGCGTAGGTTAGTGCTTCTCCTTTTCCTTTTCCCTCTTTCTCATCCTTCTTCCTCTCCTCTTCCTTTTCTCCCCCCCTTCCCACTTTCTTCTCCTTCCATAATAATAGTCTGTTTGAAGGTTTGCAAAGAGCTTTACATATAACACTTCAGTTGATCCTCACAATAACCTTGTCAGGTAGATAGTATTATTACCCTGATTTTACAGATTAGTAAATTAGGATGCAAAGAGGTTCAATGCCTTGCATTAAACATAGCTAGTTAAGTATCTGAGGCAGGTTTTGAACTCGTTTTCCTGACTCCACATCCAGTGTTCTAGCCACTGTTGCCTCCTAGCTGCCCAAAGAGACACTGCCGGAATAAACCAGCCAGCACTCTCCGAATCCTGATGTTTTCTTCCTGGGAAAGGTATCATCCATGGCACAAATAGGGAAACTCAGAGCCAGGTCTCAAATAGGAGACAGATAAAAGGTGATAGTTCCTGAGGAATAAAGCATCTGGTTTGTTTGTTTTTTGTTGTTATTGTTTTGTTTTATAAAGGAGACAATAAAAGAGAAGGAGATGGAGATATAGTTATTTTGGTCTGTGTATATTCAGAACCTCAGCCCTGCCTAAGCCCTAAGGATCTGTGGTTCAAATGATGTAGGAAAAACAATTCTCAATCAGAGCCATAAAAGGCTTTAGTTTTGGTGCACACTTAGTGGCATTTGGAAGAAGCAGCAATGGGGACAGCTAGGTGGCACAGTGGATAGAGCATCGGCCCTGGAGTCAGGAGAAACTGAGTTCAAATCCGGCCTCAGACACATAACACTCACTAGCTGTGTGACCCTGGGCAAGTCACTTAACCCCTCCTCCCCCCAAAAAAAGAAAGAAAAAAAGAAGCAACAATAAAATAGCCAGTTCCTGCTGCTTGGAAAGTCATTTGTGACTCACTCTTTGGTTCTAGACATGGAAATATAACATTAGCTGAGAGTTAATAAAGCAGCAGTTCTTCACCTTTTCTATGGCATGGATTCCTTTGGCAGTCTAGTGAAGCTTAAATATTTAAAATAAAATAAATAGGATCATAAAGGAAACCATTTATAGTACAGTGATTAATTTTTTTTTAATTAATGGGACCTTAATCATTTAATTAATGGGTTAAGATTATTCCTGTGCTAGAGGGAGCTGGAAATTGATTAGTTTCTCAACCCACATGCTTCTGGCCTAGGTCTTGCAATGAGAAGCTGCTGATTGGTAGCATGGCATAGAATGGCAGCTAAGTGGTGCAGTGGATAGGGCACTGGGCCTGAAGACTGATCTTCCTGAGTTCAAATGTGATCTCAAGACACTTAGTAGCTGTGTGACCCTGGGTGAGTCACTTAAACCTGTTTGTCCCAGTTTCCTCATCTGTTAAAAATGAGCTGGAGAAGGAAATGACAATCATTGCAGTATCTTTGCCAAGAAAACCCCAAATAGGATCATGAAGAGTCAGGCAAGACTAAAGAATGATTCAGTAACAACAAAAAGCAAAAATAGGGGAAAGACTTACTAGACTAGGAACAGGGAGACCTCTGTCACTAATTCACCATGTGACACTGGGCAAGTCAACTTAACCTTTTTGGGTTTTATTTTCCACATGTTAAATGATGGGGCTGGACTAGATGACCTTTTAGCTCCTATATCCGTGATTGAAAGTAACTTCTTAGTGTAAAGTTTCACCTTTGTGCTGATATTCTCATCCAGGTGCTTATGGCTAAGCTACTTTTGATCCATAGACTGTAATTCTAGACATAAAAATAGATCATGTTAATTTTTTTCCCTCTGACTCTAGAAAATGGTCCTGGAGGACCTGAAGGGTCTTCCTAGCACCAAGGCTAGCTCTCTCTGTCCACTGTGCGACAATGAGGAAAACAGGACACAGACTCAGTCTCTCAGGAACTGTCAATACTACAAAGGAGACTAGAATCCTGGTTATATTTTGGTCCCCAGTGTAAGTGCCTGGCTAGCTGGAGTAGCCATCTAAATCCTGGGAGACTGCATCAGTCATATTTGCAGCAGCATCACATTAGTCTTGTCTCTACCAGGAATAAAGTAAGAATTAGATTCATTGTAGGATCAGTGCTGCCCTTGGCTGGAGGGAAAGGTTGAGGAGCATTTGTCACCATGCCATAACAAGTCATGAGCAGGCTTTGGCCTTCTCTTTCTCCCTCTCACGACTGATGTCCTTCTATTCCTTTCTGTATCATTGAGGGAGCAATGCTGATACAAGCCCTGGGGCATCTCTTAGATTCTCAGATAAACTTTCCTTTGTTTTTGCCTTACTTTTACACCACATTTTCTTTTTTCTTTTCTTTCTTTTTTTTTTTTTTTTTTACTTTCTCTGTATTTGGAAATAATTTCTTTAAAATGGGATCCTTGTTGAAGTCCAGTCCTCCAAGAAGCAGAATTCATAGTAAAGCCATGGTAAGTTCCCTAGAGTAAATTCCCTCTGGGGAGTTTGGGCTTCTGAAAAAGGTCACTTGACTCTAAGCTATTTCCACCTGCAGGGTGGATCCCAGGGATGTTTTAGTAGTCAACCTCATCAGCTTAATAACAGTTAATAGTTATCTAGGCCTTCAAGGTTTTCAAGACACTTGACATGGATCATATCATTATCTAGAATGAAAGAAGTTTCCTGTGCAATAGCTAGAGCTATAACTTGCTTCAGTTATCAGTGATGGAACAAAGTGCAAAAAGTTCATTTTTACCTAACCTAAAATCTTGACACCCTGCATCAGAAGCATGTGCTATGTGTTGGTTGATGATGCCTGAACCACTGAAATTCTTCATTTTCTTTTCAACTCAGAATTCTGGTGAGGACTTACACTTCAGTTACGCTTCAGTTTTCAATCTTATGCAACCTAGAAGAGTCAACCTGTTGGGTTCAAGGGTGTTGTCTCATTTTGTTCTGTGTTTTGTCTATATATTTGAACAGTATCATTAAAATGTATTTTGGTAACTATGTAATTTGAGCTTCTTGGTGTTGATGTTTTGCATATTCATTCAATTCAATTCATTCATTCATTTGTTTATTCATTTAGCTAGTCCTTTGTTCTCTAATTTTATGTGATTTCAATATTAAGGAGGCACCCACTAGAATTCCTCTGCTGTTATAGGTTGTAGGAAATTCATATCCCCAAAAGGAAGGGGGTCCTGGAAGACTTAATCTATATCACAGAATTTACTTTTTATTTGGCATTAAAAACTTCAATGAAGACCAAGGACTAGAGCTGTAAGCCCAACATTCTTAGCTAGGATTTACTGACAGGCCAGAACTACAGCAGGAACCCTAAGAGATAAAGCCAATTCTGTGGACTGTATCTGATGGATCTGGGTTTTGCTGTTGTGTTTTATTTTACCCTGCTTCTTTTTTTTACCTCAGTGCACTGTTTTTCCTCTCTTAATAGCTACCTGGTAAGAAAGTCAAGCTGGGATCCAAAGGCACGTGTTGGACTTGAGAGCTAGACACGTCTCTCTTGGGCAGCATGATGCACCAGGCCCAGTGCAGCAGCCAATGATGTTTGCTAGGAATAGATTGAAAAGATCAGGACATGGCATTGCCTTTCCAAGAAAATCTCTAGGAAGCATCCTGGCCAAAAAGAAGGCGAAGAAGCAAAAACCCCCTCAGGCCCTGAGGGAGAAAATGAAGAGGTTGTTGCAGGAGCCTCAAGAGGAAAGCTCTGTAGACCCAAATACCTGCTCAGAGCTTTCCTCAGCTGATTCAGGGTCAGCTGTGATAGTTTGTGACATCCGGAATAAGTCCTCAAGCCCTATTGGGGCCTCTCCTCAGGACAGGAGTTTGTTGCCTACCTGCTGTGGGCAAGTGGTCACAGTTAGCAGTGGGAAGGTAGAAATAACCTACAGTGAATGCTCTGTTCAACACACTGGCCCTGGCAAAGATGGAGCCTGGTTGGGTAAGGGGCAGCTCATCACCTCAAAGCCTGACTCTCAGGACCTCTCCACTGGGAGCCCAGCCATTAGCCAGCAGGAACTCTCTGAAAGGGAAAGACACAAACTCTCTCCATCCAGAGGTGACAGCCCCAGGCAGCAGCCAGAGCCCTCAGGAGATGTGGTGGACTACATTGTGAAAGAGCTACAAGGGATCAGCCGCCTCCAGTTGGAGATTGCTGAGCTTCAGCAGCACCTGAGCCTGGTTAAAGGCTCTGTGGATGAGGTGTCCAGCTGTGTGGATTCAGTGCTGAGTGAGATTGAAGGATTACAGGTGGGTGGCAGTCCCTCTACAGCCAAGGCTTATGTAACAGGGAAACCCAAGGAGTCCCATGTTGAAAGCAGGGAGGAACCCATCTTGTATTTTTATGGCCTTCCTGAGCAAGATGGGGAGAACACCACGGAGCTGGTGAATAGCTTCCTGGCCAAGCACCTCTGTGTTAATGGCATCCAGTGCAGTAAGTACATCAGGGATGCTTACAGAGCCAATGTGGCCACGGGCAAGGCCCATGATCCCAGGCCCATGATTGTCAGGCTTGTACACCCAGAGCAAAGAGACTTCATTTTGCAGAAATCAATCCTCTTACAAAGTGTAGGGGTCCAGATTGCAACAGAGGAAGAGCCCAGCTGGTCAAAGGGCTGGAGCCCTCAGATGGAATCCATTTCATTGTTGCATCGAGGACTACAGGATCATCACTGGCGCTCTTTGAGCCTTGATGAAGGGGTTCTGCACACAGATAAAAGGGACAAGGCACGAAAAACAGATGCTGACTGGGTCAGAGCTCAGAATCAAAGTTGGGATTCCCAGGGCCAGAAGCTTTTTTTTCCACCCGAGGTCACCCTAGCAAAAAGAAACAGTGTGGTGTCTGGGCCTTTGGAAGAAACCAGGAAAGGAGCTCAAATGGTCTTTTGCAGCCGTGGAAACCAGACTGGGCCCCAGAGGGAAGACCTTTCACCTATTTTGCAGGAAACTAAGGACTCTCTCTTAGAATTCATCCCCAAAGAGGAAGATTCCAGGAAGGCGCAAGAGTTTCCAGAGCAGCATCATGAGAGACTTTTGTGCACAGGAGCAAAAGAAGTTGGCTGTAGCATTAAAGAGGAAGCCAGCCACTGCCCATCTCCTGAGGGTACCAAAGCAGAGAAAGGCCAGCTATTTGGCTGTGAAACAGGACTTGAGATTCTGAGCCGAGAGCAATTAAATTCCCTTTTAACAGATGAGTCCAGAAGGCTGATGACTCTAAGCCATGAAGGCATGATGGATAAAGTGACCATAGGACCTGAGGTTTTCAAAGACATGGTTCATATTGACTTAAATGAGGAAGAGGAAACTGCTGTGCAGGTCCTTAGGGATGTTTTGGATAGCTCTACATATGTTCTGGATGCCTCACAGGAAGATGGAGATGGCACAGACGTGAAGTTTTACACAAATAAATTAGGAAAAGCAATTCACCACTTCAAGTCAGCCCTTCAGGGAGTGTTTCAGAAACTGGAGAGCAGTGATTCCTTCAGTCACGAAGGCCTGGAGAGTAATGAGAGTGGCTCCCAAACTGATGACAGTGAGGGGCTACTGCAGATGTTGAGCCCAGGGGGAGACAGAGACTGCTTGGTGGAAAGCCCCTCGAGTAGGGGGAGTGAGAGCTTGGCTAGTGATGCTGTGGCCAGTGAACAGGTTGTTTCTAGACATAAAGAACAAGTCCACTTGGACCATAGCAGCCTTTCTCCTGCTTCCAATGACTCTCTGCTGTCTTGTTCATTGCCCTGTTCAGATGTGGACGTCTCTTTACGACAGCTGAAGCCTGTGTGCAGCCTTGGGGATGAGACTTGTTCAAGGCCTCAGGAGCCCAAGGAAGGGAAACTGAGCCTAGAGCAGGTGTGTGCGGAGACTATATACCTCAACAAGTGCATCAACAACTTCAAAAATGTACTGAGAGAAAAGAGACTAACACAGAAGAGACTTTTACAGGAATTAGTTCAGGAAGCAAACTGTCTTTCAGCTGAAGAAATATATTCAGGTACATGAAGTCTAAGATGGTTAAGGCCTTGGCTGGTTGTGCAGCCTTTTGGTCAGGACTGGGCATTTGAAAGAGGAAGGGGGTGGGCGGACTTGTCTCAACCCTGCTGCTCAGATCTCTAATAAACAAAACTCACCTGTGTTCAGAGACCTTCACTAGGACCTGAGGAGGGTAGAGGAAAGGAGTGCAAAAACACTTGTCTACAGGGAGTTCTTAGTCTAATGGAGACAGAGTAAATATAAATGCAAGAATCAAATGGGTCAGGGATAGAGACCAGACCTGTAATTGTATAGATATAGGGAACTCCCAGGTGAGGGAACTCAAGTAGGCATTTTCTTTTCGGTTAGAGTTGCCTAAAGCACTGAGAACTCTTAGTGACTTGCTCAGGCCCACCCAAGCCAGGATATGTCACAGATAGGACTGGAATCCAGGTCCTCCTGACTTGGAGGCGGGCTCTATAGCCACTGTTTGATAACAGCTTCTCAAGAACCCAAAGAATAAATACAAATAAGAGCAAATGACAGAGTTGTTTATAACTATTGTTATAATAGGGTATCCATATTGTGTGGTTGTAACACAATTTAGTTAAAATAAAGACGTGGCTAGAAATTATGTTCCCTGGCTAGAAAAGTTGACTGTGAAATAGGTCTAAAGTCCAGCCTTCAAGTAGTCAAATAGAAAGTCAAGTGTCATTCATAGCCCCTTTTCTCCATTTCCTTCCTATTCTTCTAGTCTCCGACATGACGTGGTTTAGGTTTGTTAAGTGTTTAAGAAATTATATGAGGTGTTCTGGCTAGGGAAATAAGGATAAGTGATGTGGAGAAAAGACATCAAGAAGAGTAATTCAGGAAGAGTATTTTGTCCAGTAATGGCAGAACAAAAGCTCAATTTTCCTTTTTATTTAGAGAGCAACTGCTATACAGAGATCAGGGTAAGTACTTGTTAGATATATTTATTCCGTTTAGGGAATTATACCCAGATTGACAAAGTACTCTTGTTCTGGGCCATCAGCTAGAACACAAAAGTGGCTTTGTGAGCACAGCTACCATCCCAGGCTCAGCCTGCTTGGGAATATAGTTTGGTGTAGTGTTAAAGGAAATTTTGCTGAGATAATGTTAAAATGAATAGAATTGGCTGGTTTTTGTTTGTTGAGGGGGAGGGTACAATAGAGGGATCACAAGTCTTCACTGACGAGGTAGGCGCTAGTTTTGAAGTATCACAGTGTTTTTAAAATTATAGTGGGCTGGTGTGAAGAGCTGTGAAGGAGAAAGAAGAAGATAGAGGCCTTGTCCTCAAGGGACTTAGAGTCTCACTGGGGAGACAAGACTCACCACATGAAACAATGTCAGTCAATCAGCATTTATTGAACGCCTTCTGGGTGCCAGGAAATGTGCTAAGATCTGAGGATACAAAAAATAGTAAGAACAATTCCTCTTCTCAAGGATCTTATTTTCTGATGGGGGTTGTAACACATAAATAAATAAGTATACCACGCAAGTCCAGAGTACGTGGAAGATACAAGATGATCATGTAAGATGATTCTACTTGTGTGCTAAATTATTTGATACAGATCAATGATTCAGGTTAAATTCAGGTCTCAGAGTCTTTATCTGCCAAGTGAGGTTGGGGGGAGAGGTTGGGGTTGTTTCAGTAAATGATCTTTTTAAGTTCCTTCCAATTTTAAAATTCCCTGATTTTATGACTATAAATATGGTAGGAGCTCTTAGAAAAAGGGAAATCAGTAAGGCTTAGAATAGTAAAAGAAAACTTCTCAGAGAGGAGACTTGAAGAAAGAACAGAATCTGTATAGTAGAAAGCAGAAGTTTTAGGTAAGAGTAACAGTAAGCATGAATGGGATTCGTGGGATGATGTGCAGGCTGACCTTAATAAAACAGAAGGAGAGTGGATTGGGGAATAGGCAGGTCTACTTAATAAACTGTGGTGGCTCCCTGCTCTCTATAGGATTAGCTATGAACCTCTGTTTGACACTTAAATCTCTTCACAACCTTGTCCCTTCTTACTTTTCCATTCTTATACTTGACTCTTCTTGTGCTGTACAATTCAGCCATCCCTCTGGTCTCATCACTGTTCCATACACAGGACATGGTAGCTGTCTTTTTAATCATATCTTTGCACTGTCCTCTATCACAGGTTTCCTTCAGGACTTAGTTCAAACACCACCTTCTACATGAAGTCTTTCCTCCTCCTCCCAGCTAATGGGTCCTCCCTCCCAAAACTGCGTTGTATTCATTTTGCGTATTTTTTGTATGTACTTATGTTCATCAGTTGCTTCCCCCATTAGAATTTTAGCTCCTCAGGGATAGGGAACTGTTTATTTTTGTCTCTGCATCCCTAGCATTTAGCTTACTGCCTGAAACATAGTAAATGCTTAATGTTTGTCAATTGATTATGTTAAATTAGGTCAGATTATGAAACGCTGTCCTGTGAAGAGTTTGAACTTGATCCTACAGGCACCTGGGAGCCACTGACATCTTTTGAGTAGGCCAGTTGTCTGACGAAAACTGCGTTGTAAACAGATTACTCCGGCAGTGGTCTGCATCACGAGTCAGAGGAGAGAAGAAAGTGCACTTTGGGTCTTCGATGTGAGACAATGAGGGCTCAGGCTTAGGCAAGTGGTAGTGACAATCGAGATAAGGGAGTGAATGGATGGGTTAGTGGAAGAGCAACCTGGCTCCTTTATAAAGTTCTTTAAATGGGTTCATCACAAAGGTCTAAATCGGTCCTGAAAAAACTTCCTGTGGTTGGAATAGAGGAGAATATGTAGAGGGTAACAGCAGAAAGAAGAGGGTATAGGCCGCCTCTTTCTCACCTCCAGCTACTTAAGAAACAAAAGAGAAGGGAAATGTCTAACATCCTCTTCCCTCCCCAAAAAAAGATGGAACTGGAGTTCTATTGGAGAGTGAAACAGGGAGAATCACATATTATGTTTCTTCGCAATTATGGATGAACCATGATACATAATGCTGATTTTGGAAAACAAACTTAGGCAAAAATATCAAAGTTGCTTTCTTTGGCTGATGATTGAACTTTCCAAAGCGTTTGACTTTATATGTCAGTAGTAGACTCCAGGGATGCTTTCTCCATTTCCATCAGGCTATTCATTCTGTAGGACTGAGGCTTGTCAACACAGAGAAACTTGTCTAGCTTTGAGACCACGGATCCATCTGCAACGCTAACTCTGCCCAGATTCTGGAGAGAGATAGTATTTTTGACCTGCTCCTTTCTCCCCTTAGTATGTATATATTTGCCCATGGTGAAGCAGCTGGCCTAGAGAAGAGAGTAGTTTTTATCTCACGAAATGAGGGGGTTTCAAGCCAGTGTAGGGATTCGTGACGAACATAATTTCTTCAAAATTGAATTCATGCGAATAGCATATGCTCCATTCCTTTGCTGTCAACTTTAAGTGAGACAATTAAACCTGCATACCATCACTACACTAGTCTTTCTAATGTACTACCTTGATCATCTTCTTCTCCTCTTACTTAATTGCCTTTAGTGGTTTCTTATCACCCACTGAATAAATCCAAACTTGGCTTGACGTTCAAGGTCCTCCCTAGGGCCAGCAGTGGAGGGAAACAGAGGGGGAAGGATACTATCAAAATCTTAACCATTGTTCAAAGGCCAATCAAATGTCATTTCTTTCATGAAGTCTTTCTTGATAAATCCCAGCTGCTATTGCCAGGTTTGTGTTTTGACCTAGAGGCACCTTTTTTAGCCGACTGAATCCCAGAGTACCAGCTCCATCCAGACAGCCAGCTGGTTTTGGATGGCACACTGATGTGAGGCAGCTCTGGGGTGTTAGGCCAAAGTATTCCAAAGGATTGTCTAAATACACTAATTTTAGAATAAGCAGGTAAGGCAAAGGAAAGGGGGAGGCAGGTACTTTACACATGAATATTCACTGGATGTTCCAGCTGGCTCTATATGCACATCTCCTCTCCTTGGATGGTGGCCTAGTCTAACTTGCCAAAATCTCACTGATATGGAACTTAACACATTCTACCTTGTGTTGTAACTATGTCTATATTTTATCTACTCTACTGGACTATAACATCTTTTATATATGTCTTTCTCCCCCTCAGGTATCTTGCGCTTAGTAGGGTCTCAGTAAATATTTATTGGATAAGTGAATGAAATAATGAAAGAAACCTAAATGCCTAACTGGCAGGCCTCCTTCTGAGTGAATGGGCAGGACCCTGTGGCAAGACCCCTGGGCATTCTCCTGAAATGTAATGACCCCTAAATTTGGGAAGCATGGGCACAGGCTCCTCTCCCCATAGTGGTTAGACCTCTTTTGTACTGGCCTAGAGAATGGGAGAGATTTTGTGGATGAATTTATGATAAACTTAGGGAGAAGGGAAAGGGAAAAAAAAATCAAATGGGCTTCCTGAAGGGGAAAGGAAGGGCAATTCTCATTAGGCCCTAGGGAAGAACCACACAGGAAACTCTCTTGGTCCTAGAATTTGGTATAGGGAAAGGTCTCTATACCTGATAAACAGAACTAACAGGTTTTACCCTCTGGTCTTTCTGTTGCATCAGGATTCCTTCACCATATTCCTTTCTGTATACTCACTAGAGCTGGCAGGCTAGGTAATGTGCCCAGGCAATATTTGATCATCTACTTTCACCGGAAGTGGAGTGAGGGGAATTGGAGAAACTGTAGTCACTAACTCTGATGTCTTCAGGTGGCCTCTGGCCTGGCCTCCTGTTGTTCAATGCCTCTGTTGTCCCAGGACAGCAATCGTAGTGATGTTTCTTCAAGAAACAAATGAGAAAGTAGGAGGCCCTAGGCCCTGAGTGAAACTAACTTGTCCTTGGGGTGGAGTTGGCCTGGATACTGCTGAAGAGCTTGCCTTGCTTCAGAGCTCTGAGGCAGGAAGTTTGAGCTTCCCTAGAGGAGTGAGCAAAGCAGGCCCTATCTTCATGTCCCTCATAGGAACAGGAGGAAGGGGGGAAGAATATGAAATAAATAGGCCCTGTTTCCCAAAGTGACACATCAGCTCTACCATTAATGCAGCTTCTGAAATTTCTGCTTTCCCACCAGCTGTTGATTGGGAAGTAGCTATTTTCCCAGGGAAGTTTCACAGGAGAAAATTTAGCTTCAGTGACCACACTCATGCCCACAAAACAATTGGAGGACAATTATGTGTTCAACTGTGAGGATTGACTGAATGTAATAGGAGTTCAGAGAAGAGAGAGATCAGTGTGAGAGTGAATAGTTGGGGAAGGCTTCATGGAAAAGGTGGGATCTGATCTGGGCCCTAAAGGGTGGGTAGGATTTGGACAAGTTGGGGGAGGCAGGAATGGAATGGAACATTCTAGGTGGTTGGATGACGTGGTTCTGTTGTTTGTTCCTTATAGGTAGGAGGCACTTTTTAGATAGGAAGCTGGCCCGAGTGGTTACTGCTACAAACTCAACCCCAAGGTCTAGGGCTTCTATGTTGAGGTATCAAGGTCAAGCTGGGACATGTGGGTGAGAAAATATGGATGGCTCCTGTTTCCTGATGGCGAAAGGATTCAGCCATGGAGTTTAGTTGGTCTAAGTCTAGAATGAGGTTATACGGCCCCTGAAAAAGCTGTGGTTCTGGTCTGAACACCCTTCTGGGTAGCATTGGGTTCGTGACCCCCATTCCCCTTATCCCATTAATATGTCTCTGACCATCCCACTCTAATTGGTGGAATGAACACACGAGAGAAGAGAAATGAACACAGTGTTTCTATCCTTTCATGAGAAGGCCTTTCTTTGTCTTTGTCCCTGGGGAGATTCCCAGCTGACGGGGCATGTGATGAACTGAAGGGATCAGGATGGGAGCTCATCAGTCTAGAATTTCAAACTATTCTCCTTTCCCTTCCCCTCTCAGCTCCCCAGGGCCCAATGATCCCATCCTTGGGCTTCTTGGAGAGTTGGTAGCCAGTTTAGTGTCTCATTGATGTGCAGAAATTTGCTCTAATCTCTTTCCTCTCCTCTTTTTATCTTCTTTCTTTTCCCCTTACAGAAGGAAGGCAACAAGCCCTTCAGGTCATGTCTCATGGCTCTTTGTTTGTCCCCCAGCTGGGGTGTGCATGCTCTGTGCATGCTTGTGCCTGCAAACACAGCTTGTGCCTGTGTCCTCTCCCCCAAAGTGGTGTTCGTGCATGTTCTGTGTCTTCAGATGCCTTGTGTCCTTCCTGCACTCAGCATGTTTGATTTCTGGCAAAAATTCCTGGGTAGAAAATAAGAATCTGTTTAGTGCAGGGACTACCAGGTCAGAAGGGAAGCTTAAGTTTCCATTGGCCTGTCTATTTTATCAGGGGACAGAGGGAGGGAATACATATTTCTATCGTGTCTACTATGTGTGTTAGGTACTTGTTACAATATCTCATTTGATCTTCACAACAACCCTGAGAGGTGGGTACTGTTATTATCCCCATTTTACGGTTGAGGAAACTGAGGCAGAGGTTAAGTGACTTGCCCAGGGTCACACATCTAGTAAATATCTAAGGCTGGATTTGAATTCAGGATCAGCATAGAGTCTACCAGTAATTAGAACTGAGGACCTTCAGGGACTACTGGGCCCTTCTACTGTTGTTTCTTTTAATAAAAAAAGAAATTATTGCTATCTTTTTTTTAAACATAGTTTAAATTTCCTCTTGTATTCTATCCTACCCCCTTCCCAGAGAGCCATCCCAAATAGCAAATACGTTTTCCATTACTTCTTTTTGGAAATTCTTTGTGTATTCTATCCAGAGCCAGGACTAAAGGTAGATAAGGTGAACAACTTCCTTGGGTGCCCCCAGAGAGATGGATACAATCAAGAATGTTTTTAAATATTTATTTTTATAAACTCACAGATTCGCAATGCCAGAAAACTCTACTCTTAATGTTATTTATTTTGTGATAAGTCAGGATGCTTGAATTACTTCTCAAAGCCTCAGCTGGACTACAACACAAATGAGATATAATTATTAAACACAAGGTGCATACTTTCAAATCTTGCCCAGGTCCTTCTTATCCTGACTCTTGAAAAGGGCCTTGAATCCTTCACTCACCTTGAGTGCACTCGTGGCCAAAGCTAGGCAGCTTTGCACCCAGTTCTCTTCCTTGTCCTCCCCTTGTCCATTGGAGTGCCATTTCACATACATTTTCATTGTCAGGAGCTTAATCCTGAGGGTATCCAAAAGGCTGCATTGACTCTGAAGTTTTGAACAGGTTGTGGCTGTGAGAGAAAGGGAAGAAGCTGTAGGCCCTGGTACTTAGATCTGCACTTGGCTCCCATAGTATAGTGTTTGCCTTTGGTTTGCTCAAGAGACTTGGAGATTCTGGAACATGTTTTTCACCCAGACTAGCAGACTCTAGCAGTTCGAAGTGTTTGTTTTGATTCTTCACGTGTTAACTTTTTCCAAGTGCTTTTTTAGCTGTTCCTTTCTTGTTTTCTTTGAAGCTCCTACTATCAGCATCTCACTTCAGGATTCAGTAGAATCTCCAGGGAAAATGATCCAGGTTTAAAGATTGGTGCTGATCAGCTGCTACTGATCCTCCTTAGAAGCCCTTTGATTGAATGCCTGAAATGTGTATGATGGTATCAGATTGTTCTTAACCCCTAGTCTAAGTCCTGGCCAGGGATCACCTTGAAGGGGAGGTTGGCTTTCAGAGGTTGGTGCCAGTGAGGCAGGGTTCTAGCCAGTGACTTTGAGAAGGCAGTGAATGAGCTCATGTGCTGAAGATGGGATATGTTCAAGTTAACACAAGGCACATCATGGTAGGAGCTTAAGGGGAGCCTGAAATAGTTCAATGAATATCTGGACCTTGAGCCTTAATCCCTGGTTGGAGCTGGGCCCTTATTAATTGAGACCTTGCCCTTGAGACCTGGCTTCCCTAGCCTATTCTGAGACTGTTGATAGATTTTCTTGTGGCCTCAAAGGACCAATCCTTTGGGAGTTGGGGGCTGGGATGCAAGGAGAGCAGTTGCTCACTCCAGCCCTCACCTTTATATATCCTGAGGGGAGAAAGGAGTTGGTAGGGACTGTGACACTGGATGGTCTCATTCTTTAGGACCTTTTTGCTTTAGAAGGATCTGGCCCCGACCTTAATTTCTAGGATCTACTGTAGGAGAGAAGGGAGTCTCCTGCCTGAATTGGACTCAGATTCTTCTGTACAATGCACAGTATATAAACCTTGAATCTTGGTGAGGTGGGCTTAGGGCTGTCTGCTGAGCTCTTAGCTATGCATTATCCCTCTCATTTTCATCCCCCTCATCCCCATACCTCATCTTAGGTGGTCCTGAGTCCCTGGTGAGCTCTTAGCTGTACATCCCTCCCACCCCAGGTGGTCCTAGGGCCAACTCCCTCCCCACTCAGCTATGTATCCTTCCCCCATTCCAGGTGGTCTCAGAGCCTCCTACCAAGCTCTGAGCTGTGCATCTCCTACCTACCCCTCTTCCCTATCCCAGGAGAGTTTTTTTTTTCTGCAAGTGTTCATTTGTGAACCAGGCAGCTTGGTTTTTCAGTTCATCTTTCCCTTTGACTTTCTCAGTAGGCCCAGTTCCTGATAAAAGGTAAAATTATTGGGTGGATAGAGAAAATGCCAGCGTGGCATTGGCAAATAAATTCTTGCCTTCTGTCGTCCCCAGCCTGTTCTTCTGATGAGCAGCAGCTCTGGGACTTGCCTTTGCGTTCTTCAGGTCTATTTGGGAATCTCTGGTAACAGATCCCTCTAGTGAAAAAGAAAGTCATCTGGTATGGTGGGAGGTGTGTGTGTGTGTGTGTGTATGTGTGTGTGTACTCATGCCTCTGAGCCCCAGCTTAGCCTAGGGAAGCAGATGGATTAGAAATAAACTGGCTAGCAGAGTGACCAACTGTCAGCAAGGAGATGTTTGCTGAGCAAGACCAGGACTAAGGCAAGAGATAAGGGGAAAGTCCTACTTTCCCTTGAGAAAGGACAGAGAAATGTTTCTGAGCTGAGCTCTGGGGAAGTCTGGATGTTCCCATTAGTCATTGCTCCAGGCTTGGCCTACCGTAGCAGCATTGGCCTCTAACCTTCTCTATTTGCAGGGGATAGTGAGGCATACAAAACTTCCCAGTTGTAGCAGCTCACATTAGAACATACCTCCAAAATTGTGAGGGAAGGTTTCTGAGGAGACACGTTCAAGCTCTTGCTTTTGGCTTCACCTTGCATATAGAAGAGGGCTGCTTCTGCTTGTTCCCCTTGGCTGATGCCAGTGGCACTGCTGGCCCTGATGCCAGGCTTCATCCTAGGCTCTTACTGTAGCTTTATTGGGGCCAACAATCATCTCTTCCAAACATCATTGCTTCTCCATGTCTAGAGGTAACCCTGGACTTGACACTCCAGACCCCTTATTTGTTCCTGGTGGGCTCACTCAGCTATCTTCTCTTTTCCACTAAATTTTAATGACTTTAGGTCCAAAGCTATAAAACTATAAGTTGTTTGGATTTGTTGTTTCCTGCCTGGTCCCTGGGAGGGTTCATAGGCGTTTCTCTCTCTCTGGAAGCCAGCTTTGCACATGCTTTTAGACCACTGAGAGCAGATTTGGTGATTTGAATATCTGTAGTTAAGTAGCTATCTCTGTTCAAGACCACATTCTCTCCCTCCACCACCACCACCACCACCACCACCATCACCATGACCAGTTTTCTGCACAGCCACCTGGGCTTTCCCCGGGAGGGTATATCAGGACAGCTCTTGAAAGGGGGAAGCTCCAGCTGTCTGAGGGAGACTGGTGTCCATACCCAGCTGGGCTTTAGGACTGTCGAGGACTGTACTTCATGGTACCTGTCTCAAAGTTAAAACCTCTGCCCTGTGGTCCACCCCTTTGTGACCAAGCACAAGAACTATCATGGCTTTGGTCTCCACTGGGATCTCTAGCTAAGACACTTCATTTGGCAACCATTTATGAAGTGCTTATGACATGAGAAGTGCTGTGTTGGCAGCAGGTGAAATACAGAGATGAAAAGGATATGGTCTTACCCTCAGGTAGCTTCCAAACTATGGAAGAAATCAACGTTTGATTAAAGTAAGGAGCCTAGGGTAGATGTTGGTTGAAGTTAGAATACTTTTTCTCATCTTAGGCCCCAAAATTTTGAGGGGGTCGTTGTCTTCACGCTGAGGTGAGCCATCATCTGCAAAAATTTTTTCCCTATCTTTGCATGAGAACCACTTAGGGATATTCTTATCCTAAATAAAGCAAGAATCTTCTGCAAAGTGTGGGGTATAGCAGGGAAGAGTGAAAATATTTTTTCTGATTATTTTTTCTAAAGAACAGATGTACTAAGCAGACTCTTAAAAATCTCTGCTGAAGTATCCAATGGGTAGCTACCCATGGTCCTTGTCATTACAACCTGCCTTTCCTGCCATCAGGCAGAGATATTTTTGGGGTAGAGTTGTTAGAACCAGGCACACATTGCTAGTGGTTGTGCCTCTGTGTATCTCTGTGTCCATATGTTTGTGTGTTGTAAGTTGCGTGAACTACATTCTATGAGAACAGATTCCTGGGTCTCCCTCCACCTGTCCTACTCCCAGCCTAAGTGATAACTAAGGCTTTGGTCTTTCATAGGATCTAACTTAGCTTTTCTTTTCTTCTCTGAAGGCTCCTGATGATGGTGACCACTCCAGGAAGCTGTGGCTCCCCAGTGGGTAAGTGCTTCCTGGGACAGCATTTTCCCTACAGTCCTTTCCTAAGATTTTTTTTTTTTTGCCCACCTTTTGTATGAGGCAGAAAATAGGGCACTATAGATTGGTTCCCATGACTTTTCTTTATTTCTGACCCCTGGCATCACAGCAGTGAGGAATACAGCAAGTGGAAGAATGGAGAGCCATAAAAAAGTTTTACCTAGAGACACTTTCTTTTTCATCGTTACCAACCCAAAAGATAGCTTCCAAATCAGTGTTACTTGTCATGACAGGACAACCTTGGGGCCAAGCCAGGGGAATCCCAGGGAGAAAAAAGACCTTTGCCTTGTGTGAAATTCTTTGCTGGGGACAGTCATTGGATCCTTGAACTGGAAGAACCCCTGGAAAATCTGTCCATACCTTGACCTTTGAAGCAATTAGATGATTAAGCCACTAGGATCACCACTAGGATCATCTCTCTTCTAGAGCATCACCAGGCACAATTCCACTCTCTTCTTTGGCTGTCCATCTACTAGTATTTAACTTCCCTCCTAACTTTTAAAAATTCTTTTTTAAAAAAGTTTTATTGATATTTGTTTTGTTTTGTTAACATTATAAACATTTACGGATTACTCCCACTTCATGAGAGGTCTCTTGTAACAAAGTAAAACAATTAAATAAAATGAATAATACAATGACCTCATCTGAAAGTGCATGCAGCATTTCACATCTATAATATCCACTCCTCTTTCTTTTTTTAATTGAACAGAAATCTATTTTCTCTCCTTCTCACCCCTAATTGAAAAAAAAAAAAAGGAAAAATTTCTTGTAACAGATATGCATAATCAAGCATGTTGGCTAAGGCAGAGCTGACTTCTGCATCTGTGTTTGTATGCTTTTTACTCATGGGCCACCCAAGAAAATACTTAAATTCTGACTTCCTATAGTAACAATGGATTACCTCTTTTTTCCCAATAGCCAACATCATCCCATGGCAATCCTCAAAGTGACTTTAAACACTCAATTCCAAACATGGTCTCAACTAGATTCCTGTGAAATTCTCTTGAGATTGCATGTGCAATGACTTGGAAATTGGACAGAGCAGTAGTTTCAAGAACTAGCATTGATGGTGGAGTCAGAACTTGGCATTCCATACTGAGCCTTGGCCTACCCTTACGCCTATAGCGCTTCTCCCCCTCCTAAGGTGCCTCTCCCCCTCCCAAAGTCCCAGTGGAGAGGGCAAGGGACCAGACCTGATCTAGTAGTTAGTATTTATTGTTAGTTTTAACTACCAATAACCTAATTCTGAGGCAGCATGGTATGGGGAGGTAGAACTCTGGACTTGGAGTCAGGAAGACCTGGATTCAAAATCCCACCTCAGCTACTCACTGTCTTTGTGACCCTGGCCAAGTCATTTAATCCTTCTCTTATCTGTAAAATGATGAAGTTGGAATTGATGACCTCTCAATTCCCTCCCTCTCCTCCTTTTGTCTCTCCTCCCTCCTTCTCTTATTCCCTCTACCTTCCCTTCCTCCTTCCTTCCTTCTTCTCTTTTGCTCTTCCTTTTCTACCTCCCTTCTCTCCTTTTCTCTCCACCCCCCCCCCCCACTAAAATCTGACTCTGGTGCTGCCTCATAGTCTAACAGCAAGCATAACAGTGAGCCTGGGTTCTTCTGGCTATACCAGTAGAACCACAAGTTCTGGTACATCCCATTAAGCTAGAAAGATTTCAGTTATGGGTCCATTGATGGCATTTGTCTTAGGAGCAGCCTTGCTAAGTTTAAGGTGCCATATCACTCTAAACTTTAGTCTGGCTCCTTGATAGTGAATTTTTGGCCATGACAATTCTAAAAGACTGTCTACCAAGTCACATAGAATTTATAATCTACATCAGTGGGGAGTGGAGGAGTATTCCTTCCCCACCAAAGTTACAATTCCTTGAAATATTGAAATACTATGCTATGTATTGTCCTTTGTTTCATGTGAGTAGATCTGTGTCCTAGATATATTGTATTGTATTGCTCCTTGAGGGAGTTTGTTTCCTCAACTCAGACTTGTTGAACTGAATACAAGACAATCCCCTGCTTCTCTATCCCTGAGGGTTATTCCTAGCCTATCCTCTAGGGCTGTTCCTAATGCCTAGCTGTCATCTGTAGAAGTCATGAGCCACCAAAGCTGAAAGAAGATTGTATCACAAGTACCATGGAAGGCTATATGCATGCTGAAGATATTAGAAGTTACCATATTGGACAGTGATATTGGTCTATACATGCTTAAGCTCTGGCTTCTACGATATTTGCTGCCCACTCCTTTGGTTGCCTTTCCTGGTTCTCTTGATTTGGAAATGTTCCTGGGAGGACAAGCATAATTAGGACTTAGATTGTCTTTTTTTTTCCAGCTGTTGGGAATATGGAGAGAGAGTTGAGTCATATTATAAAATTCCTGAAGACTCACCTCCTAAATCCATCCAAATCATACCTTTCCTTGATCAGGGGTTGCAGTTGTGGGGCAGTGCCTATGACCCATCCCTAATAGTTGACTATGGAGTCTGACAGTTTGAAATTGTGGCTGCCAGGAGTTTATTCCTGCTTTGAGTCTGTCACTAGCCAGAAGCCATAGATCCAAGAATTACCCATTTGATGAATAAGTTAACAAATATACGCTGAGTTCCACTGGTGTGTCTAATCCCATGCTAGGCTTGGTGGAAAATTTCAAGAAAAGGAGAAAGTGTGGTCCTTACCGCAAGGTTCTCACAGTCAAGTTGAAAAGGGACTTGTGCATGCAGCAGGTAGTAAACATAGCCTCCAGGAAAGAAAACTATTCCACACAATATTCAGAATCAAATTCCTAATAGTCATATGTCCATTTCACATCTGGAATGTGCCCCTTGGGGTGATAATGCGCTTCCCATTGTTGGAGATGTAGAGCCTAAGGCTGAATGACCACCTGCCAGCTGACTCCTACATGAACTGGGAGGTTGGACTGGAGGACCTTTTTGGTTCTTTCCACGTCTAAGGATCTGTGCTTTTATCTCCCTTTGCCAGCTCTGCTGAAAGCCTTTGGGCAGTGGGGAAAAAAAACAAAAAAACAACAACAAAAACAAATGAGGTAAATGGAGTAGAATTTCCTTGCATTAGGGGAATATTAGTTCTGAATCTCCCCCTCCCTTTCTTCTTCTTCTTCTCCTAGGTCAGCTGGTGGGCTGTATGGCATTGACAGCATGCCAGATCTACGAAAAAAAAAGCCACTTCCTCTCGTCAGTGACTTGGTAAGAGTTGTTCAGACCTGCTCTCAGAAAGAGACCAAGGTACAAGGGATATCTCATTGCAGAATCTGACATGTGTTGGTCACCTGGTCTCACTTTTTATGATGACTGAGTTCCCAGCAATGGCCTGATGACAATTTGCTAATTACTCTTTCTTGAGCAGATGCTAAATAGCCCTTGTAGAAGAGACTGCCCTAATTGGTGCTTGTCACTTACCTTCCTTTTGAGAAGGAACATCAGTACATGGCTTCAGTGGGGCCCAAGTCTTTCTGGAAATGCATGTGGAATGGGATCCTAGCCCATCATGGGAGCATATCTGGGAAATGAATCCTCAGTAACACCCCTATTTTTCCTGGAAGCACATCTAAAGAAGGACACAGTAGCAGGCCTCAGAGGAGCCCTAGCCTAACCTCTGTGCATCCCCAGGAGTTATTCTCTCAGCTGTCCTCCTTGGTCAGGATCTATTGTTGGGATACATTTGGACTGAATATTAGGGGATTAACTTCCATACTTTCTTCTCTAGGCTTTCTGTAAGACTCCTTGATTGTATTGAATGACATTTGCCTCTTAGCTGTATACCTAGAGACAGAGCTTGAGGATTTGTGCAGTTGAGGGGTTAGTTTCCTTCTTGGAGTGGTAACATCTATCTAACACTATTAGACTTCCTCTAAAACATGAGGGTTTCTGAGGGAGCTGGTCCTGAAGCTGAAAGGTCAAAGTATCCCTACCATTCCCTCCCATTGTGCTAAACAAGCTCAACCTTCTTACCCTTAGGTCTCCAGAATGATTAGACCCTTTCCTCTACCCTCCCATTCTTTCCTCCCTCCCTCCCACTATTTACCTCTGACATGCCCTTCAGCTAAGTTTCTGGGGCTAGAGTCCCATTGCCATCTAGACTTTGATGGTTGGGTGACTTGCTTCAAGGTCACTCATTGAGTAAGGACACATTCAGACCCAAGTCTTATGACTCCAGCTCCAGATTTCCTTCCACTACACTGTTTCCTCTAGAGGTATGTGGTATAGAAACCCTGCTATGTCTCCCCTAGGGTCCCATAGCAGGCTCTTTATTAACTTCTGCTAAGAGTCAATTAACTTCTCTTTAACTTTTTTTTCTCCTTTCTTCTCCTTATACCTTTCCTCTTCTACTTTCTTCTTGGGTGGTAATCCAACTCCTGTGACATGGGGTGGAGAAGTCTGCTCCCTGTAGCTGCCCAAACCAGCAGTATATTTTCCTGTTGAACTGAGAGGTTGAGACCTTGCCTGTTTTAAAAGATGGTAGACAGAACAAATGGTCTCTCTATTGAAAAACCACTAAGCTCCTTGTCCAGATGACTTCTTTTCTTCTTCCCTTTCTTTCAGTTATGCCTTCAAGCCTGGTTCTTCTCCTGCTCACTCAGTCACCAACTATCTCTCTCTGGACAGGGTTTGCCTAAAGGCCCCTTCCTCCATGAAGGGTACTTCTTGCCCTTCTCAGGAATTAGGACTCTGGATTTGCCTCTACTGTGCCTATTCCAGGGATTAAGTGGAAAGCTTCAGCAAGAGACCTGTGGGGGTTGCTCTGGCCACTACAATTAGCCTGCAGAATCCTCCTTGGCTCTCTTGTCCCTTACTCTAACTCCATGGGATTTCCTTTCATCCCTTCTGGCCCTGGTTTTCTAGGTATAGTATTGGGTCCTTCTCCTGTCTCAGCCAAGAACCTCAGTCCCTCTAGTCCTTTATGCTGCAGGACCCTGTCCTAGCACAGATGATACAAGTTCCTGAGGTCTAGGTTTGAGACAGGTTTGTCTGAGGACAGAAGGGACTTTGTGCAGAAGGTCAATGGCAAACCCTACTTGGTTCATCCCTTTAAATGCATCTATCACAGCCGGGACATTAATATCCTATTGTTCCTTTCTCTGCTCTCCTCTCAACAGGCCATGGTGAGTGCATTCAGAGTTGTCTCCCTCCCTAGTGTCCACAGACTATTCCATTGTGTGTCCTTTCCCAACCTTTCCTCTTGTTTTAGTTTGATATTGTGAAGTGTGCCTGTAGCCTCCACTTCACTGACATAGTCAGCCTTAGCAGGGTGGGTGGCTGTCCTTGGGGTGAGGTCTTAGGCTTCACTGGAATAGCAGCTGTCATTCACCTTTTTGGTTGCCTTCTGTGCTGTCCGTTGGACTTCTGAACTCTGTAATTTTTCTGGGGGCTTTGGTCCTAGGGATTGGTACTAAGGGTGGGGAATGTAAGTAAAGCTCCAAAGAGTGGTGTTGGGATCACTGTTTTCAGTTATGGTCACTATGTATGACTTACAAACATTCAGATACAAGTTTGTCCCACCTCTCTGAACCTCGTCTCTTGTTCTAAAGCGTTTCCTACTACCACCACTCCTTACCTCCCCCTTCTTTTTAGACTTTCCACAGGCAGCTTTAGCTCTTGGAACCATGAAGGGGAGAACATCTTAAAGCAATGGGGGAAAATTAAGCACTTCAGACTACGTGCTTCTTAATAGCTTGTGCTGTGGAGGGGAGAGGGGTGAGGCATAGGAGAGATCTGTTAGGGCACAGTCTCCCTGAGAAGCTGAGACAAGGGGCAGCCAGAAGGAGCCTTGGCTTGGAGTCCTATTTTACTGGGACTTGGAAGCAGTGAATGACAGGAGAAGCCTGTGTTGGGGACATAGTTGGAAGGGTCCAGGCTGGTAGTCTGGTTCTCTATATCCACCCAAGCTTTGTCAGCCTTTGACAGGGTTAATGGCCTGTCTCTCTTCACAGTCACTGGTCCAGTCCCGGAAGGCAGGAATCACTTCTGCGTTGGCCACACGGACCTCCCTCAAAGATGAAGAACTGGTAAGCTTTCGTTGACTTTAAGCTACATTTCTGTTCTGGGCTCTGAGTTCTGGGCTCTGAACTAGACCAGGCCAGGCCAAGCTAAGACCAATGACAACAATCACTGGTAGCTTCCTTGACAGGTCTGAAGGGAAAGCCAACTTCTCCTGAGACTCTTGGTTGGTTACTTAAAAAAAGATCTTTGCTCTAAGATTTCCCTGCCTAGACCTAAAGGCAGCCTTGATGGGATATGGAATGATATGTGTTTTTCAGAAATCTCACGTGTACAAGAAAACCCTTCAAGCCTTGATCTACCCTATCTCTTGCACCACTCCTCACAACTTTGAGGTGTGGACAGCCACCACACCCACCTACTGCTATGAATGTGAAGGCCTTCTGTGGGGCATTGCCCGGCAGGGCATGCGGTGCACTGAGTGTGGGGTGAAGTGCCATGAGAAGTGCCAGGACCTGCTCAACGCTGACTGCCTACAAAGTGAGTACTGCTGCCTGGGCCCACTTGGTGGATTAGGGGTGGCTGAAGGTGGTAGAGAAAAGGACTGACAGGCCCTGGGAAGGCAGCATCCTCCATACTGGCTCTTCTAGCAACGTGATTTCTCCTTGTACTATTGCTAAGGGGATGCTCCAGGCCGGTCCTTCCAGGCCCATTTTATCTGAAGTTCTTGCATCAGGAACTCCTTAGGCAGAGTTTATTATCTAGTGGCTGCTTTTAATGCTCTCCTAGGAGTCCCTTGGAAACATTGTTCCTGGCTTGCTTGGGCCTTGGGGGTACAGTTTGTGGTAGGGAAATGATGAGCAGAGGAATATGGACCTGAGAGATGTGTTCATACTTCACTGCCATCACTTCCCAAATGGCTTTGGTAAGCTCAACTCAGCATAACCACCATGGAGGAAGAAGAGTGCCTATGGTGAATAGTGGGCTTATGGCCATGAGACTCCATGATACACCTCCCACAACCCAATCCCAGGAGCCAAGAAAGGTAGTAGTTAACTTTAATTCATCATTGGGGTCTCCCGGACAGGAAAGCCAGGAGTAGAAATTCTAAAACCAAGGTCAGGAGAAAATGTACTTTTTTGTGCTCCAGACTTTCCAAATCAATGGCTGGAAGTGTAGTTTTGTTAGATGTGGGTTCTGGAAAAGTGCTAGAGCTAAGAAATTGAGAAAAGGAAAAGTAGAGAATTCATGTAGAAGGAAATGATGGAGGTGATGGTGTCTCTTCTCTTGTTCCATTCTCACTGTGGCAAGGTCTAAGCAAGAGCAGGGTCTGGGTGGTTTGGGATGCTTCCCTCTTCACCTTCAAGCCCAACGTGAAGCCTGTTTGGGAAGGATGAAGTTGATTTAAGCTCTCAGATTCTTTCAAATTAGGTTGTTCTCCCTTTTTCATAATAAAGATGCCCGACAATGATAAATAATGTTAAGGTACAGAGCCCTCTTGACAGTGTAAACCCCCAGGCATATTCTGTGGTACTAGAACAATAAATGTAATGGGGATAGGTAGAGGAAATCTCAGAGAGATTGGGCATGGTGTCTCCTGGAGGCCTTTCACAAAGCTTTACACCCTCCTGAAGCTTCAGGAAAAACCAAATCAAATCGGACTGATTGCTTACTTTTGTTAAGGCTTCAGTTAGCTTAAGGTATTCAGGGGAGGCCAAGGGAACAGTTTGTGTGTAGACATCTGAACACCTGATCTTTGGCACTATTTACTGTGGAAGTACTACTCCAAGGAGCAGTGCAATTTCTTAGCTACAGTGTTCCAGGGTCTAAGGACCTGGGTGAAAATTCTGGCTCTGCCACTTATTACCTGTGTGATTTTGGGCAAATCACTTAATCTCTCTGTGCCTCAATTTCCTCAATTGTTAAAGTGAAAGAATTGGACTAGACAACATTGAAGGTCTGTTCTATGTCTAAATCTGTAATCCTAAGAACTCTTCGTATTTCCCTCTATTCCTCGTATGATGAGTACTTGGGAAGAGGTCAAGAGCCTGCAAGTTTGTCATATCTGAGTTTCCCAAGAGTCTCAGATGTGGGTTTGTGGTTGGGGCTGTGACTGTTCCAGAACTCAAACACAGTATAGCCAAAGAGGAAAAGGGGTCTTTGTAATGAGGATATATGTCACAGATTCAGTCATAATGTGTCTTACTTCAGCTGCTGAGTCTAATCCCCTATTCCCCTGCCCCAGGAAGGGATGCCCGTAGCAGGCACAAGGATATATCGTACCTTTTCTCCTCTCTCAGGGACTGGGCTGCCTGTTTCCCTCATACCTATTACCTAATGTTTCTGAAAGAGAGTGTTGCAAAGTGGAAAGAGTGTTGGATTAGGAGTCAAAGGACTTGAGTTCAAACCCCAGCTCTGCTCTTTACTAACATGACCCTGGATAGATCACTTAGTCACTCTGGGATCTCAATCTGTCTGTCTGTCTCTGATATGAGAAGTTTGGACTATATGATCTGAATTCGATTATAGCTCTAATTCTATGATCTTATAACCAATGTTTTCTTTTCTCTATGACCCACTGCAGAATGGGATCTAATCTTTGAGCTCCTTGCTTGCTTTCTTGTCTCTGATGCAAGCATCAAGTCCCTTGTGAATTTCTAAGGGTTTTTTGTTTTTTGTTTTTTTTTGCTAGTAACACTTAAAACAGGCGGGTGGCAAAAATAGCAAATGTGGAAATTACAAGAAACCTTCAAAGTCTCACAATAAAATTTATCACTAGTATTCATTGGAATGTAAGAAAAAATAGACCTGATCTTAGCTCCTCTCTTGGCCTTGTCACTAACCCACCTTCCTTATTCTTATCTTGAGAGCAAGCAAGTCTCACCCAACCCTCTACACATTTTTTATTTTTAAGGCCAAATCCCAGTCCCTTTTTACTTTCAAGTAAAGAAGTCTCTATCATAGTTTCTCTCCATTTTTTCTTTCCCATGCAATCCCTCTAGAATCAAACAAAGACACACATAGTTCTGATAGTATGTTTCTTTAGTTGTCTAAAGTACTGAAGTAAGATTGACCTTAGAGGAAACTGTTGCTCTTTATGTCTGCATTTTCATACTTCACTTGGATAATTTCCTGAGAAGTACCTGACTGATGAGGTTTGAGTGTTGAGGATTTCACTTGTGTTTCTAGGTTATAAACTATTTGAAGCATTAATTCTTTGAAAAATCCTCTCCTGCTGGTCACGACACATAGAAGTGTAGCCATGGTATCATGGAGAACAACTGAGAGGGGCAGTGAAACAGAGTGGAATCAATACTGGGCCTAAAGTCAGAAGACCCAGAACCCTTTACTTACTAGCTGAATGGTGTATTTCTCCTTTTTCTCATCTGTAAAATGGGGATAATAATGCATGCACAATCTGCTTGGCTGGATTGTTATTGGGAATACACTTTGTAAACTTTAAAGCATTCTATAAACACGGGTAGTTGTTGCCATTGTTGTGTAAGGAATGGATATGCTACTGAAGTTCCAGGGTCCAAAAGTGGGTGTGAATGAGAAAACCACAGGAAAGGATGGAAGATTCTTTATGGTGTGTATCAAAGACAGACTGGCAGAATTAACCCACCACGGCAGGATGAGGACAAAATGATTATTAGTCCACAAAGACCGGCATGACTGAAACTAAGTTTTAGGTCTAGTGTACTGATGTTGGCTTCCAGGCTACCATGGAAGCTTCCATGCTGAGCTGAACCTCAAGCCAGATACCTTTGCAAAGTTAGGGACAGACTGTGTGTCTGAAGCTACCCTTATGCTAGCTAGCTAGCTACATGACAACATCCTTGTTCTCCTGGCTCCAGGGCTTCTTTTCTCCACAGGTAGGGCATTTACTGTTTTTCTTTTCCTCTGAAGCCCTTTCCTCAGCTTCAGTCTGAGGAAGCAAAACCTTAGATGGAACCCTGGCTACTTTTGTGTTTCCCTTTGGAGGAACTGGCCTCCCAGCCTCCAGTGAAACAGCCCTGGAGGATTGGCTGGCCTCCTGTGAGATTAGATGTAGATGAGCTTAATCAATAGGGAGTTCTGAGCTACTGGAGGCTATTAGGGTAAAAGATTGTTCTTGTTATCTCATCTTGAAGAAAACTGGGCAGAGCCATTTGAGGAAGACAGGTACATTAGTTCCTTCTATGGGAAACCTAATTCCAGTTTCATATTGTGGTGGAATTGTGAGTCCATTTTAGTTTTCAGAGCATCCTGGGAAAGCGTTGGCAGCCTCTCTGTGACCAGAGAATGTCTCTGAAAAAAAATCCATGTGAGATATGACAGCCAGGACCATTTCTAAGGATGATGACCACAAGCTGTATCCCTTTTTTGTTTATACTGTGTCTCTCTAGCTATAGGAGGCCTTCAAATGAAACCTTAAACCATGAATGAAGTTGGACATAGGATATAGGAGCCCTGTAGAAGAGCAGGGAACCCAACCATGGGTACTCAGGTATTTGCTGAATGAGGATGTCCAGACAGAAGGTATAGTCTGGGCTGGCAGCCGATCCTATTGCCCAGTAGTATTGGGCCCCAATGAACAGCTGAACTTCTGAAAACCAATAGCACAAAAACATTTGGAGTGATGACAGGAGGTAGCTTTGATTCTAGAAAGCTCAATCTGGAATTACCAGAATCCACATCACAAGGAGAGAGGAATTTGACTCATAAGGAATTGGTATTATAGTGCCAGGGAAAATTCTGAGGAAGCTGAGTGCGTGCATCGTAACCATCTGCAACCACTCCTTCACCTACCTGGGTCTGAATCAATACCATGTTGGCCACTTGTGGATCTGGCATTCATAGGGAAGAAGGAAAAACAAAATGAGAGGCCCTGGTTTAAAGCACCGTTAAGAATGGATCAAAGTGAGCCACCATTGTATAAGTCAGGTAGGATGTCTGAATCAACCAACAAGTATTTATTGAACAATTGGTCTGTGTTAGCCCTGTTCTAGGCACTATAGGGAATACATAAGAAATATGAGACATAATATCTGCCTTTAAAAGGCTTATAGGAAACTACAAATGGGCTAAATCTTGGAAATTTATTTCCCAGATTTTGTTGAAGAAATGGGGCACTATGAGAGGAATGTTTTACACAGTGTCACACATGATTGATGTCAGTTGGTTTTACTTAATTGAATTTTCTTTATTACAAAGAAAAGCTTGTTGAGTTTGGGTGGGAGGTCATAGAGGGGAAAGGTCTATTGAAATGACTGTGATATGAAAACAATTAATCTAAATTAAAAAAAAATAATAGAATAGCAGAGGCTAATGACTCTCTGAAGGGAGAGCAGGGGAGAAGGAGTACCAAGAAAATGAGATAGAGTAGCTGGATAGGAACACATTCTACACAGTGTAGAATTCACGAAGGTGAATTCGGATTTTGATGGTAGACAGTAGAAAGCTATTTAAAGTTTTTGAATAGAGGTATAATATGATAGAAGTAAACTCTTAAGTTTCTGGTTTCTCTAGACACCAAATGCTTGAAATGGATGAGAGAAACAATCAAGAACCTGGTATTGGTACCATTAATAGTCTTGGTTATTAAGTTAATATATGTTGGCATTCTGGACATCTTCTGTTTCTGGGCTCCTGCTTTCTTGTCAGCATAGCCCATGGTTATGAATTGGCCAGCATGCATTCAAAGACTGGACTGTCTCCATCTATGAACTTCCAGGCAAGCCTTGGAGCTAGCTCTTCTTGGTGGTTTGGTCATTAGAACAGGGATTGGGAATGTGCAAGTCTGTATTCTGTGCCACTGGGAGCTGAGCCGTGTTCTGGGCTATGGCATGAGGAAGACAGAAGAAGAAAGATATGTGATTCCTGCCTTTATAGAACTCATAGTCTAGTTGGAGACAAAAAGCTCACATGCATGAAACAATTCCATCCCGACCTCCCCTCACCTAGTTTTGAAGAAGTGCTACTTAGAATGCCTTGCATTTACATTCATCTTTATTATGACTTCAAGGAAGGATTGTATTATTAGCTACTGCTGTGATAACCCCAAGCCCACCCTAGACTTTTATTCCTAGGCTCTGCTCACTAAACAGTTGGATTCCTTCTCTTTAGCTCATTTGTACCTGAATCACTCAGGGGACTCACTGGCCACTGGAGCTAGAAGGTGTCTGTTTATTCTGTCATTTTCCATATGGAGGCAAAGCTGGTAGAGTAAGGAGGCTTTTCTTCTCTGATTTCCTTGGCTGAGCAGCATGGGGAATATCTACAAATACATATAGGGATTAGCCTTTAACCTTGAGACAAATTCTCTTTTGTGTCCCAAACCCACCTCAGAGTGTCCTTATGGTATCAAATGAAGAAGAATAGTTTCTTCCAGGTCTAGAACCCCTCTCTTATTCATTATCCAAACCTATTTCTGTCTATCCCTTGTGTCAGAAACTTGCCTTTGCTCTAAGTGGGCATGTTAATAGAGATTCCTGACTGTTTCTGGCCACCTCTCAGGGGCAGCAGAGAAAAGCTGCAAGCATGGAGCTGAGGACCGGACTCAGAATATCATCATGGCTATGAAGGATCGCATGAAAATCCGTGAGCGGAATAAGCCAGAAATTTTTGATGTTATTCGAGATGTCTTTACTGTGAGCAAAGTCGCCCATGCACAGCAGATGAAGACAGTGAAGCAGAGCGTGCTAGATGGTACCTCCAAGTGGTCAGCCAAAATCACAATCACTGGTAAGGGGGCTGGTGGGGGTTAGGGCACAGAAGGAAATAGAGGGAGGTGGCACTGGGGGTAGGGAAGGGAAAAGGCTGGGATGGGTAAGATCTGCTGCACTGGTAAAAATAGGCAAAGAGAGGGTATGGAGGAATAGAAGGGTTGGCAGATGAGAGATGATTATAGAGCCTAGGGAGAAAGTAGGTACAAGGAGTGATGGCAGGAAAAATAACAAATTCACTGAATATATGCTATGTGTTTAGCCCAGCACTAGGCACCGTGGGGGAAACATGGTTGGCATAGTTATTGCTCTCAAGGAGTTCACCTCCTCCTTAGGGAAACTCCCATGGGTGAGAAGTTAAATGACACTACCAAAATTAAATTACAGTGCAAGAGATATCATGAGACAGACCATGATTAATTACTAAGTAAATGGCACAGAGGTGGAACATGTTGAGTTCAGGAAATAAGATGATGTGTGGGCTTTATTAGTCGGGAAAAACCCCACTGAAGAAGAGGAATGGGACCTGAGCTGGGCCTTAAATTGGTCTCATGTTTGCTGAAGGGGGCTGTAGAGAACAGTTGGCTCATAGGGAGAAAACAATCCCTCATCTTCTTGGAAAAGTAAGTAAACTTGTAGGAGGGATATATCTTAGGAAAGGAGATAAGCGGAAAAGGAGAAATGGTAGTGAGTGAGAATGTCTCTAGTTCCTACCTTGGGGTGCCCACATTGGCTGAGCTTCTTCTCAGCAGATGCTGCTCCTCATGCCTGATTTTAGGATGGTGTTGTGCCCTGGGGAAATCATGTTTTGTAGCTTCATCCTTGTTTCATGCTTGCCTTGTAGTGGTATGTGCTCAGGGTCTGCAGGCCAAGGATAAGACTGGCTCCAGTGACCCCTATGTCACTGTGCAAGTTGGAAAAACAAAGAAACGAACAAAGACCATCTTTGGCAACCTGAATCCTGTTTGGGAGGAGAAGTTCCATTTGTAAGTGGCCAAGGAGGAGAGCTTAGTTTGGCTGGTGGAACTGAGAGCTATCATGTGCAGAGCTCTCAAGAACAGGGAAAGACCTATTTTACCATAAGGTCAGAGCTTCTCTTACTCTTTCATAGAATTTGAACAGGATTGGGGAGGAAAAGGAGAATGTCAGCAAATTAAGCTGATTCTTCCATACTTAATTTTGACTGGATGCTGCTGTTCCTTTCTTTCTTAGTTCCTTCCCCCAGATATATTACCTCCAGCTTCCAGTTAACCATTGCATCTTCAGCAGACACAACACACTTTCCTGGTATAGTCAAGAAAGCTTTTATTGTACTGCCTGGTGACAGGCATGGTGCTGCAGACCAGCAATAGCAATCCAAACAGGAATGACCGTTTGTTGAGTATGCTATTGAGGGGCTTCCTGTTCAGGTATTGGTAGGATTAGATAGCCTCTGATGGTCCCTTCCAACTCTGAGACTGATTCTGGGAGTATTTCAAGGAAAGGAAACTGAAAGACCTCTCTTTCTGAATCAAATTATTTCTAGTTTGTATATGGAAGCGCAGATGGAGGTTCATTTCTCCTCAGTTGCTCTGCTTGTATTCCCTCCTTCCAACTCATTTTCCCAGCATTCCAAGTAGTGTTGGTGGCCAATAAGCCCTGGGTATTTGATCTCTCCTTTCTTCCCAGGACACTTAGGGACAGTCCAAAGCCATTGGCTTTCAGTGATTTCCTTGACCCCTGGACAGACACCCCTTTCCCTGGATCTCCCCAGAGCCCATCTTCTACCCTTCCTTCCAAGGCAACAAAAGTATTAGGCTAGTAGATAGCTTCTCAGATCCCTACCCAAGCCACAGAGAAGTCACTTGTCCTCTGCATTCCCTCGAGTTAGGAAATATATCCTCTTAAGTATAATTAGACTGTTCTACTCTCCTGGAAAGATTTATTCTCTAATAGGAGCAAAGAAAGATAGATTGACATATAACTGAATACATCAGGAAAGATAGACTGCTCTCTGACTTTTCCTCTTGTGTGCTTCATCCAGGATGCTCTGTGTAATTTGGTGGTTGGCTGGCAAAATAGAAAGGGTGATAACTGAATTTCAGCCCATAGGCACCTGTGCTGAATGTTAGGTAATTCTCCTTTGTGGCTTTCTTGCTATATTCCCACAGTGAGTGCCATAATTCCTCAGACCGAATCAAGGTACGAGTGTGGGATGAAGATGATGATATCAAGTCGAGAGTGAAGCAGCGGCTGAAGCGGGAGTCAGATGACTTTCTTGGCCAGACCATCATTGAAGTGCGAACCCTGAGTGGCGAGATGGATGTGTGGTACAACTTGGGTGAGGAATTGGGGGCAGAGGATCTGGGTATTTCCTTTGAAAGAAGAAGGCCAAGGGAAATTGTTTGGGAGTAAACCAAAGGACCCTGAACACAAAGGGAGAGACTTCACAGAAAGCTGCTTGGGACCCCTCTGCTACCACTAACACAGATGTTGGTGAACTTGGCAGGGAAATTGTTCTCACCGCTGGCCACTTTCGCTATGAGCACCAGCTCTAGTTTATGCATCATCATCTATGTCAGCTAGGTTGGGCCCTACGTTTCCAGAGCTGTACCTATCCCCTTCATGGCTTGTCTAGTCTGGGAACATTATCCTTCCAGCTACCTGAGATCTATGCTCATCACTATCACCCTCAGTCTTCTGAGCAACTCATCGCTGGAGCTGAGGCAGGGAGGGGAGTTTGGGAATATCTCTTCATTGGCAAAGATCTTTATCTTCTTAGAAAGAGTCTAACTAAGGCTCCAGAATGATGGGTGTTATGAACTTTCTTCTCTCTGCAAGCCATCTCTGACTAAGAGAGAACTGAATTCTTTTGGGTGCCTAGCAACTCTTCTTATCATCCATTACCACCTCATTCTCCCTATTACCATTCCATTCTCTCCTTCCCCCTGTTGTGTTTTGAGTACTAAGACTGAGAATTCTAAGTCAGTAGAATGCTAGTGACCATCTTCCTACCTGTCCTGTGCATACATACCCAGCTTCACTGAACCATGATGATCATAACCTAAGTGGGAAGAGGCCTGGGCCAGCTCTGATTGGGCCTACCCTGAGTTCCAAAGCCCCCTTGGACTCTGACATCTAAATTAGACATTTCCAGTTCTCCCTGCATCTTCCCAGTCAGCTATACTTATTGGGCTACATGTCTTTGTAAGGATGATTACCCTCTTTAGATTGTAACCCTGGCCCCCCTTCCAGAAGGCCTCTTCTTTCTTTGGATCCATATACATGTCTTGTTTAGTTTGGATATTTTTTGAAGGTATAAGTTTCCTGTCTTCTTTCCGTTCTAGAAAAGAGGACAGATAAGTCTGCTGTCTCAGGGGCAATCCGACTGCATATCAGTGTGGAAATAAAGGGGGAAGAGAAGGTAGCACCATATCATGTGCAATATACCTGTCTCCATGAGGTAAGTCAGCCCCAGGCAGGAACAGCTTACTTGCCCACCCACACTTCCCTAGGAAGAAGTTCCCAAAGGTGAATAGCACGATCTCCTGGGAAGAACAGGGACTAAGTAGCTAGAGATCCGAGTGCTGTTCTTTGTTGTGTTGGTGGCTAGCTACTAACCTGTGCCTGGGTATCCCAGCTACAATGTAGGTGAACCTTCTGTGGTGAAATTAGACAAGAATGACAAAATTTCTATGAAGTTTTCTAATCCTTTAATTCTCACATCCCTGGCCGTCTACATCCTTCATACTTCCAACTGGCAACAGAGTTTTCCTCTTGGATTTTTTTTGGTAGGAAAGTCTCCCAAATTCATGTTCAAATCAACTTCACCTAACTGTACCAGGTTGTAAGAGGGAGCAGCCCAACCATGCCCAGCTTGTTTGCATTTCTGGTTCAACAGATGCCCTGTAGCTTCTGTCCCCTGGGACAACACCAGAGTTTTCCTTTCTTTCATTTTCATCCACATCAGTGGCCACTAGAGCTCCTGGCTTCAACAAAGCCATGTTCCCATCTGTCAAAGGCCTTGAGCTAGGCCCAGAGCCAGGTCTGCAAGTGACTGGCTCCACAAACGTGGACAGAGCTATTGCTTGGCTAGTGTTAGAATTAGCTAGACTCTTTGTGGTATGATTCTCCCCACCTCACACCCCCTCCATCTCTCCTCCAAGTCTCTGAAGTGGTTTGGAGTGTGTGTGGTTGCCTGGGGTTAAGGAAAGAGGGCAGCAGACTTTATAGTAATGTTAATGCAGAGCACCACACTGTGGTGTGGAAATCACCCAAGGGAATAATTTGCATAGAAATGCTAGCTGAATCCATGGCAGCTGACAAAACTGCTGAGAGAACATAGTGAGTGCTCAGATCTATATTTTAGAGCTATCAAGTTAGCACCCAGATGGACTGGTGAAAGGAGAGACTGGAAGTAGCAATTTTATTTAAAATACTATTGCAATGGTATAGGTGAAGAGATAGTAAGGTTATGAACTGGAAGTTCTATAAGTGCAGAGAGAGGGTATGGATGTGACATTGTGTGGAGAGAGAGAGAATCGATAAGACTTTGCAAATTATAGGAAATGGAGAGAGGAGTCAAAGATGACTTTGTGGCAAACCTGGGCAGCTGGAAGGATGGTGGTACCTTTGCCAGAATTAGGGAGGTTTGGAGGATGAGTAAGTTTTGAAGGGGAAAAGGAGTTCCATTTGGGACAAGTTGAGTTTGAGATGTCCACAGAGCATTTAGTTGGTGACGTCTAGCAGGCAATTGGTAATTCAGGATTGGCATTCAGGACAGAGAAGAGGGCTGGATATGATGATTAAGTCATATGCATAGAAATCATAATTGAGCTCATGGGAGCTAATGAAATTACCGAGAGAGAGATTATAGAGAGAAAAGACCCTGTTTGTCCAAAACAAGAGCCTGGAGAGTACCCATATTTTGTAGGTAGGAGGAGGATAATAATCCAGCAAAGAAAACTAAGAAGAATCAGTCATACAGGTAAGAGGAGAACCAGAAGTGCTATGGCGTTTAGGATGTTCAGGAAAAAAGGCTGGTCAACAGTGTCACAAGTAGCAGGGAGGACAAGGAGATGAGATTCTTTACTTCCTTTTGTCTCTTGCAGAACCTGTTCCATCATCTCACAGACATCCAGGGCAGTGGAGGAGTCCGGATCCCTGAGGCCAAAGGGGATGATGCATGGAAGGTTTATTTTGATGAGACAGCCCAAGAAATTGTGGATGAATTTGCCATGCGCTATGGCATTGAATCAATATACCAGGCTATGACGTGAGGTTCAGTAGGAACTCTAGGGAAAGGGGTGCTGATCACTTGAATGCTAATGACGTCCTGCTGACAAAATAGATTGCCCCATAGTAAGTGGGAGCAACTAACAACTGAGACCACCCAGCACTGCCAGCCTCTGGCTCACTCTTCCTGTTACGGTCATATTTACCATTTTCCTTAGGGTGGAAAGGGAAGAGGGGTATATCTGTGACTGTTCCCAGGGCCTGAATATGTACAGACAGGTCACTACTCTCCTGGGAGAGGAGAGATGGGGGATGTGTTTTATTGCCCTGGATCCTGAGATGAAGAGATGGCTGTATCACTGCCCCCATGACTCCAGGAGGGTAAAAAAATGGATATATGTGTATGCTGCTGCCTCCAAGACCCAGAAGAGGAAAAGGAAGGAGATGTGCATATATGATGATTCAAGGAATCTAGGAAAGGAAGAGTGTGTATGTGTGTGTGTGTGTATGCAAGTGTACTTGAGTGTGTAAGACCACCCTGCCTTCCTGCCCTGAATATATAGTTAAGGAACTGATCTATAGAAAAGGAGAAAGCATCTACTGATTAGGTTACCTGAAGTTCCTATAACAAGGATTTCTTCTTGTGATTAGAGATAGGAATAAGGCTTGTCAGGCAGCTGATTCAGTATTGCCCAGAGGAGCCATCTCAGAGCAAGCAGGACTTGGCAGCACCATGCAAAGCCATTGGCCTAAGTGAGGAAGGTGATCCCGAGATGATTGTGGGGGACCTTGTTAGAGTATCCTGTAATTTGCTGTAGGAATCATGGTACTGGTATCATTACAAGGGCTTTGTTTCCTCAGGCACTTTGCATGTCTGTCCTCCAAGTACATGTGTCCTGGTGTACCAGCAGTGATGAGCACTCTGCTTGCCAACATCAATGCCTACTATGCCCATACCACAGCCTCCACCAATGTCTCTGCCTGTGACCGCTTTGCAGCCTCTAACTTTGGGGTGAGTGTATGTATACACATGCACAGGTGTAATGATTTCCATCATTTATTAAATTTCTTCTTGCAAAGACAATTCCACAGAAGTTATGTATTTTCTCCTAAGATAGTATGTCTGGAAGTCAGGTCACTGTCACCTGTTGAGTGGTGATGTCTGCTTATAGCTGTAAAAACCATATAGATAGGGCTCATCTTGGATGTAGATATTTGAAAAAACAAAAAAAGAAAAGAAAAAGGAATAGCACATGCTTCTACATTTGGGTTACTTTTTTCACAAAACTGTTAAAATCCCAGCATAAATTATTTGAGCAAATACAATAAGAAAGATATAAACTAAGAAATATGATGGAACAAAATTGAAAGAGAGGCCTTTAAATGTGTCAACTCATCTTCTTAAAATATCAGCACCCAAAGCAATAGCATCCTCACCCAAAGTCTTTAAAGAAAGAATAGAGGCAGCTAGGTGGTGCATTGGGTAGAATGCCAGCCCTGGAGTCAGAAGGACCTGAGTTCAAATACAGCCTCAGATGCTTGACATTTACTAGCTGTGTGACCCCAGGCAAGTCACTTAACCCCGATTGCCTCACCAAAAAAAAAAAGATGACCACTTGTTGAGAATGTTGTAGAGCAGATTCTTGGTCAGTTATTGATTGATGTTGATGGCTTCTGAAGTACCTTCCAACTCAGAGATTTTTTGATTCCTCCCAGGCATGGCTTCCAGAGCTGTGGCTCCCTCACCAACCCATAACTCACCAAGCAGTAGCCTCCTGGTTGCAGGAGTTCCCCATTGAAACTCATTGTAGTAGCATCATAGTAACTCTTAGTAGTACTGTCAAGCCAAGTCAAGTCAACAAACATTTACTAAGTGCCTTTTCCTGTTTACCAGGTACTTTGCTAGGCACTGAGGACACAAATAAAGGCAAAAATCAGTCCTTGCTCTCAAGGAATTCCCAGTCTAGTGGGAGAGACCACATGCAAGCTACTATGTACAGACGAGAGATAGATAGGATAAACTGGTGATCATCAGAGATGAGGAAAGGACTCTTTAAGGAGCTTGTATCTGGGCTGATTCTTGGAGGGTGCCAAGGAAACTGAAAGGCATAGGTGAGGAAGGAGAGAATTCCAAGTATGGAGGAGTCAGTGAAAATGCCCAGTGTTAGAGGATGGAGTGTTTGTGCAGGGAATAGCAGAGGCCAGGGTGAGAAATCTACTGTTCTCTCAGTAGATCTCAGAGGCCCGATTAATTAGGAATTGACTTAAATGGGCAGTTTGAGTTTCCTTTCTCATTCATTGAAGAACTGAATTGAGTTGTCCCTGACAAGGCATTAGGATTGCCATGAGCCTTGGCCTGGCTGTAACACCAGGCTTCTGTTCCTAAATCTGTGTCATGTACAAGAAGCTGTGTCCACTTCCTGTACCTCAGTTTTCCCAGGATGAACAGGATGAGGCTCCACAGGGCTGCTCAAGTGCCTAAAAGAAAATCTAGAGGATTTTGAAAGGCCTGTTCCTAAACTTGCATCCTTGTTCCCTGCTCAGAAGTCAGGGCCAGAAAAGGGCATCAGACTCCCTCTTCTTCTCTTCCTTTGCACCATTGTGCTCCTGAAGACTCAAGACTAGGTGGTCATAACTGCCGTTGTTTCCTCTCTTTTCACAGAAAGAGAGATTTGTGAAACTACTGGACCAGCTGCATAACTCATTGAGAATTGATCTTTCCATGTACCGGGTGAGCAGAGAATCCCAGCCTGGCCAGCTGGTAGTACCTAGTAATAGGGCTAGTACATATGACTATTGAGTGTGGCCTTTTGACCGAATCCAAGTTTTACAGAATAGGATCCTTTTATTAAGGGGATTTGTTCTGTGAAGATTGGATTCAGTAAAAGGGCCACACTTGAGGACTTAGAGGGCCGCGTGTGGCCTCGAGGCCAAAGATTCCCCATCCCTGAAACAGTGATAGGCCATACCCAGAGGTGGCTCTGCTGGTGTAAGGGATCAGGAGGCTGCTGGGTAGTACAAGTAGCTACAGCGCTGGATTTGGAGTCCCCAAACCCTGACTTCAAATCCTGTTCGTATATTTACTGGCTATAACACCATGGGTAAGTCACTTGTCCTCTCTAACCTGTTTCCTCATCTGCAAAATGAGGATAACAGTAATACCTACTTCACAGAGTTGTTGTGAGGATCAAAAAAGATAACCTATGTAAAACTTTAGAGGACTATAAATGTGCTGGCTGTTCACCCTTCCCTACAGAGCCAGCTTACAACACCGTGTATAAGTGAAATGGGGTTCAGCTAAGTCATGCTTGTAGTCCTGCTGCCCCAAACCTGGCTCTTGCCCTGACTCTCACATTGCTTTCTATGCTTTGTTAATTCTGTGATCAGGTCATCCCTAAGACTCAGCTGCCAGATTTTAAGTCCTTAATTTAAGGCTCCACCCATTGCTTCCCTTTCTCCTCCCTATAACCACTGCCCAAGTGAGGCCTACGCCAGTCAGCCCATTTGTTTTTTAAATTATTATTTTTTTTCAGTTATCAAGCACTTGACTTTTTTTTCCTTCCCATTCACTGAAAAACAAGATGAAAATAAATACAGAATCCCTGTATCACATAAGCTTTAGAGAAAGAAGGGGAAGCTTGGCTTAGGCCAGAGCTTTGCATGCATACTGTTTGTCCCCATAAGGAATCAGGGCTAGAGCAGGAAAGAGAATGGTGAACCCAGGCAGTTTCCCCAGGTCCCCTTGATCTGAACAATATGGTCTTCACTACTTGCCTTAAAATGTAGTGAATTCCAACAAAAGTAGACACACCCACATGTAAATGTAAGTGCAAAAGCACTTTATATAGTCAAAGAGAAGTGAGGTTTGAATGATCTGCACGCCCATTCCTTTTCCATTTGCGTGGATAATTGGGAGTTGATAATATGGTATCTTGTTGGTATCTTGTGCCATGCAGGTTGGCCTTTTTTACTTTAAAACATTTTCCCCAAAATGAAGGTTAATTTGCTTGTGAGATCAGGCTTCAATGAACAGTCCCTTCTAACCACATTATCAGCAGCGAGGATCAGCTTCCTGACCTCTTACTAAAGCCTATTCTATGCTAGAAGGATATATGTATACACATAAAACGCACTTATTTTGCTCTGAGTGTTTATTACAGCCCTTTTCTCTGAGGAAGGTGTTGGATTCAGGAACTGCTTAGGTAGGGAGGGGGCAGGCAGAGAGAAACATATTAGATGGGATTTAGCGAAGGTTCAATCAGCTAGGGTGACAGAAGAGTTATTGGGTTGATGTTTCTTATTTGCTGAATTTTTTCACTCTTGTCTATGTTTGGTTTCTATAATAATAATTATAGAACAATTTTCCTGCTGGGAGTCCAGAAAGACTGCAGGACCTAAAATCCACTGTGGATCTCCTCACCAGCATTACCTTCTTCAGAATGAAGGTGAGTTTCTAAGGTTAGATTGGTAAATTTGTTGTAGAAGAGAAAGACTCTTGATCAGGCTTGGGCCCCTAGGTCTCTGTCCTGAACCGCGTGCCGGGGGTGGGGGGGAGGGGGGGAGCGCCAGGGAATGCCTGGTACCTTCAGATTCAGGAGAAGTTTCTTATTCTTCCAGTCTTCCTCTCCTCACACCTTTTTTTGTGTGGAAACACTACACTATGTGCGCTCGAGGAGATGAGAGTTTGGGTTGAATAATCCCCCACAGATAGGCCCAGTAGCTCCATCCAAGGACATAATCTGGTATCTAAGGGAAAAGGACGGCCAGGCAAGGGACTAGTGGAAAGAAAGCTCTTCCTAAGGCTGATCTAGGAGGGAAAGAAAGGAGCTCCACCTCCCAGGTTAGCAGAGTCGGGTATGATTTGGAGCCTAGCTCTAGGATCATGTTCCTCCTGATCCATTATAGGTACAAGAGCTACAGAGTCCACCACGTGCCAGCCAGGTAGTGAAGGACTGCGTGAAGGCCTGTCTGAATTCCACCTATGAATACATCTTTAACAACTGTCAGGAGCTGTACAGCCACCAGTACCAGACTGAAGTGAGATGTCCTAGGCACTACCTCCTTCCCTTCCCCCTTCAACTCCTACTCCCTGCCCATCTTATTGGTGATTGATCTGTCTTTTCCCTGGTGCTGTGGCCATTTGAGTTTTGGGTTTTTTTAAATAGTATTTTATTTTTTTTCCAATTACATGTAAAGATAGTTTTGGATTTTTTTTGTTTACTTTTTGGTTTTTTTTTTTGGTGAGGCAATGGGGTGAAGGCTACTTGATGTAATATATTTTCAAATGAGACTTGTGGTTTGGAAATCTTATGAAAATTCAACTAGTTTCTCTGTTTTTTCTTTCTCATTCCTGAGATGAATATGTCTTTTGAAGTGTGATTGTTCAGCAGTCTAACTGACCTTCTCTTTGCTGTTATTGAAGAATTCTTCATTGACTCCAGCCTTTATTGGAGATTTCTTTGACTTGATTAATTTTCTGTTTATGCCTGACTTAAAACATGATTTGTGGGCTCCCCGTTATCTTTCCTTGGGCTTTCTCTTTTGGAGATATGCCTTTGCCTCAGACTAGACTTTTTTTTTTTGGTGTGTCGAGGCAATTGGGGTTAAGTGACTTGCCCATGGTCACAAGCTAGTAAGTGTCAAGTGTCTGGTCTGAGACTAGATTTGAACTCAGATCCTCCTCACTCCAGGGCCGGTGCTTTATCCACTGTACCACCTAGCTACCCCTAGACTCTTTGCCGGTCAGCCAGGCAGCTTAGTTTTTGCGCTCTGGCCTATAGTGAACATCTATTCCCAGAGTATCACTTATAAACCATTTAGACTTTTAAACTTGGGTAGCGATGCCTTTTATCCTTTTTCTACCTACTGTTCATAATGTCTCCTAAAATAGAGTTAAGTCCATGGTAGGTTTCTTGATTTTTCCTCTTCTGCTAGATGAATGACTATAATTGAGCTGGGATCATTTGGACCTAAGTAGTGGTACCTCAAAGATCCTTCCTGTATCAGAGCTAGGTCCAGCACTCCAGGGCCAAGGCTAGCACTTTACTTCTCTTATTGGGGTAAAACATGTTTCCAAGAAACAGTTCCACTGTTTCTAGGAAACAGTTACTTCTCCCATCCCTGAATATTTTTTTCCATTTCTTGGCAGCCTTGACTTCATTCCTTTTCTTTCCCTCATAGCACAGTGGAAAGGGCACAAGCTCTGTGGGTGGAGTTAGAAGGCCTGATTTCAAATCTTGCCTCTGATGTTTAACTGCCTGTGTGACCTTGGGCAAATCACTCAGCCTCCTGGGGCCTCAGTTTCCTCATCTGTTAAATGAGAGGGTTGGGCTCAATCACTTCTGAAGTCTCAATTCTAGATCTTTCACTCTATCATGTTTCTTTCCCCCCCCCACCCCAAATTGGAGATACCAGATGAACTCAGCTCTTTCTGTGTTCACCAACATTCTAATGTTCTCCATGATAGGTTTGCATTTATTATTTTTGTCATCGCTGCCTAATTTCTCTAGCCATACTTCTCTCACCAATCAAGTCTGATTGGTGACTTGCCCTTGTTTTCTTCAAACCTGTCATTGAGGTTGCCCAGATCCAACTTTGCTTCTTGCATCCAAAGGGTCCCCCAGCTGTCTTCTGGGCAGCAAGATTTTTCTTTGGCTATAGAGACAATTTCGTGAGACAAGCTGAACTGTGGGGTAGTTGGGGATTAGATGTTGGCTAATAGAAAGGAGCGGGTGGGGGCCAGTCATTACTTCTAGTGGGTTGGAGCACAAAGCTCAGTATTACTTTAAGGACATTTAGCTCTCCTTTGTTCTGGGCCAGCTATGGGTTTGCAGCCAGGCTTAGTCCCTTACCCACCTCATTTATCTGTAGGAATGGTGGGGTTTCCACATTGTAAATTCTAGGAGCCCCTAGACCAGTCTAAATAATCGCAACTTACTCCCTGAGTTTCTACTTTTCCCTTGCACACACTGATGTCAGTATTTTTGTACCAGAAGAAGAGACTGGGTTTAGATGAAGGAGAGTGGGTCAGTGCTGCAGAGTCAGAAGAGAGCTCCTGAGGATCTGAGGATGCAGCTGTTGTAGACCAATAGGAGAAGAGAGTTCCCTGCCGCTGGAGAGGAGGCTGGGTTAGAAGAAGAAGGGATTTGGATTATGGGGATGGAGTCTCTGAGAGAAAAGAAGAGCCTTTAACTGAGGAGGTGGTGTTTCCTTGGTAGAGGAGAGGGTATAGGGTATGTATATGTTGGGTATACTTTTAATATTGCTATAATTTCTGAAACAAGAAACAGGAACTGCCTCCAGAGGAACAAGGCCCCAGCATCCGGAATCTGGATTTCTGGCCCAAGCTCATTACTCTCATTGTGTCCATCATCGAAGAAGATAAAAATGCCTACACACCTGTCCTGAACCAGTGAGCAAGCACTCCTATCCCCAAACCCCAGCTGCACTCAACCCTACTCTATCTGTCTAATGGCCTCTCTCTTTTCTGTCCTTATATGTTTACAGTGCTGCCTCTTCTTCCTGTCTATCTGTCTGTCCATCTATCCCTTGTGTCTGTCTGGTTAGCTGCCTTGACTAGGTCTTGAGGTGGGTGCAGAGATGCCATGGGTGCTGCTTCCCTCTTTGGCTGAACTAGCTACCCTAGGGTGAGAGGCTTTTTGGGCTGTATGTTCTAGATGTGCTCCATGGAGGCCCAGTGATGCTGTGTTCACTGTATTCAGCAATATAGCATTCACCATACTTGACCCTCTCTCCCCTTAGGAACTCTTGGGGTATCATACCCCTTCTTCTTGAGGCCCTCCCTTTCCTCTTCCTTAGAAGTCTCCTTTCCCATGAGCCCAGGCCTCTCCTCTCTCCCCAGACTGCTTCTCTTCAAATTGGGCTTCCCCACCTCCCTCCTTTGGTTCTTTCCTTTCCCTCCTCCTGGGCTTCCTCTATTTCTACCTCCAGTTTTCCCACTGGATTTGTACATTCCCTGTCCTGGATCTTTATAGTTCAGAATTCCCTTGGGCGAGGTCCTCAGTGACAGAGCCAACCAGGCCTTGTATTGCGCCCTAACTTTGAAACCCCTTCCATTCTCCAGGTTCCCTCAGGAGCTGAATGTGGGCAAGGTCAGTGCAGAGGTGATGTGGCACCTATTTGCTCAGGACATGAAGTATGCCTTGGAAGGTAAATAGTTAAAATCATCTTCATCCTCCCTCCTCCTTCTCAAGAGCTACTATTGATTATTGCTGGCTTGGCCATGTGGAATGGAGACAGCTCCATCCTGAATTGATTTCACACAACAGTTTCGTGCCAACAGGATCATTATTGAGGGTCCCATGGTTGGGGAGGGGAAGTAGGTCAAGGATTTTGCTACTTAGGACTGAAGGAGACATTAGAGTCTAGGAACTCTACAGTATGGTTTGGGAGGACAACACAGATGGCAATTTCCTGACCCAGTCTTCCCAGGGCTGAATCCTCAACCCTCTATCTGGTATGGCAGAATCCAAGGCCAGGATGATCTTCCTTCAAAGATGTCCCCTCTCCCATTCCCGGGAGCAGGGCTACCAAACCACTTTTCCATTCTCATCTGTATCCATCTGTCCTGATGTTGTCCATCACTTGTGTATTGTGTATCTTTGTGTTGTGTATCTTTGTATCCTTAGTCTGAGATAGTGGGCTGAGACAGTTTGGTCAGAGGACAGTATCTTTCTACTCAGTTCTCAGTATAGGGTAAGGAAGAAGCAGGGTTTGAACAATATTGAGGGCTGAAGGAAGAGTGGGTTTAGGTGTTAGTCTTATGAGAGGGCAATATTGTTGGAAGCAGGGTAGTAGCATCATTTCCCTGTCATATCATGGCCATAGTGAATAGGAATGTAGATATAGAAGAGCTATAAGGGACCTCAAAAGTTATTTAATTCAAACCTCCTAATTGTACAGATGAAGAAACTTGAGTCTAAAAAGATGAAGTTATTTGCCCAAGGTCACACATATAAGTAGCCAAGTTGGCATTTGAGCCCAGGTCTTCAAACTATAAATCCAGTGCTTTCCATGGCTCCATATTGCTCACATGATCCCTGTCTTCAAGGAGCCTACAATCAATCTGGAGATATAAGATATAAGCTTATGGAAAGTTAAATACAACACAAGAAATTAATGATAATTCAATACAGACATTGGAGAAATGTCATAAGGCAGTCCAAATGAATTGTATGAGCAATAAGTGCTTTAGTTTAGATGAATAATGAAAAAAAAAACACTTGAAGCTGGTATGGGCAGGTAAAACTAAAACTTCATAGGGAAGATGGGACTTGACCTCATTCTTGAAGGAAAGATATGTTATGGGTAAATGGAGTAGAAAGGGAAAAATATTGCAGGAGATACAGGAATTGGTGTGGGCAAAGGTTTGGAGGCAAGGACCCAGCCTTTAGGCAGGGCTGCCCCTAAAACCATTGAGGTGGATGCTTCAATGACAGTGCCAGTAGTGAGATCATAAACTATCCCATATGGTAGGGTGCTGATTGTCCCTTTGGTAGGACATTTTTATCACTCCATTTCTTAGGATTTCCTGGTTTAATCCTTTCCCTATGATACCTAATGGCTTCTATGGCTGAGCAGCCTTGTTTGAGAAGGTTAATAAAGGGGGATTGGGTTAGATAGGCCCTGAGATTCCTTCCAGTTCTAAATTTATGATTTTATGAACTTAGATTTGCACAACACGTTCAAGTTTCTCAATACTATTGGAGTTCAGAAAAAGAGGAGATCAATGTGGGCAGGGAAGCTTTTATGGAGACAGGACTTAGAGGTTTAGTAGAATTAGAATAGGTAGTAGAGAGATAAGGGAGGGCATTCTAGGGAAGGAAAAATTACAGGGACAAACGCCCAGGGGCAGAAACAGCACAGTGAGAAGGAAAGAACCCTTAGAAGCTTGGGGTTTGAACGTGAACTGTGCTGCTTACCCAGCTGTATGACCATGAACTTGGTGAATAATTGGATGTAGAAGCTAAAAAGAAAGGGAGATGTCCAAGATGACCGAAAGCTTTTGAGTCTGGGGGCTGGAAGAATGGTGGAGCTCCTGACAGTCAAAAAGAGAAGTTGGAAATGAAAATGGATCATTTCAGTTGATCACATATGTTTAAGATCCAGGAAGAAATGAACAGCAATTAATTGAGACCGTGAGCTTTAAGCTCAGCCCAGAGGTCAGGGATGGAGATGTAGTCCAGTTTAGACATGAGAGGTAAAGCTGAAGGAGCAGATGAATAGGGAGAGGGGATCATAGCATCATAATCACCATTGTAAGAATAGGTCCTATTTACATAGCATTTGAAAATCCTTATGAGGAATATAAAACGTAGGCTCAGACAAATAAATGAGTTGCCCGTGTTCAGAGCTGAGAATCAAATCCAAGCCTTTTGACTTCACATTCTGATGTGCTTTCTGCTGTACCTTACTGCCTTGCCCGAAATGTTAAAGGAAGAAGGGACCATAAAGAGGTTATCTGGTCCAAGTACTTCATTTAAAATATGGGAAAACTGAGGCCCAGAGAGGTGAAATTACTTGCTCAAAGCCATGCAGCTAATTATAGTGTAGAAAGAGAAGCACAAGAAGGATTAGGGAGGAAGAAGGGAGTAAATTCTTACCACTGTTGATCTGGGTGATCCCCCAACGTTAGAAACTGTAGCACAGTTCCTCTGGGACCTGTCAGAGCATTTGCAGAGGCACGAATAATGTTTAGTACTTACCCTTTATTAACCTTCTCAAACAAGGCTGCTCAGCCATAGAAGCCATTTGGTATCATAGGGAAAGGATTAAACCAGGAAATTCTTAAAAGGCAGGAAATACGCAAGTAAATGCATAACTTCAAGACTTTGGTACCTGAGAGAAGGCAAAGGTAGGGACTTTAGAACAATGGGAAAGTCCTGCTCCCTGCATCCACCATGGTTTGTTCTGGGATGCAGAGATTGGGTCCCTCAAAGAGACTCTGAGTAGTGCCCCACTGTTTCAGGGCCCCATGGCCAGTATTCCTTTGGCCTAAGAAGGAAGAACCTCATTCTCAGCCCCTTCAGGTAACAGGTCCTTCCAAAGGTCATCTAGTCCTTACCCCTCTTGGATGAGGGCAAGAGAGAAGGGATTGAGGAGCAAGGCATAACTTGGGTGGATATGGCTGGACCCTGAAGAGGCTGCTCTGTTGTCTACCATTCTCTTTGCATCATTCATTGTTGTCTCTGCTCTGCCACAAGGACCTACTGTCTTTCGCATTCGCAAAGTCCTCTTTCTGGGCGGTAAGAGCTTTCGGTTGCTGCTCCTTTGCCTTTAGTCTTGCAGCCTTTCATTTTATCCCCTTCCCTCTCCTTCCTACCTCTGCATAGTGAAGGCCCCAATTGTGGTTTCATGAGCTAGTAGCACTGCCTGGCACTGTATTAGAATGAAGTCCTCAGGCCAGGAGCCACCTAGACTGTTGGGCCTGGGCTATGAGAGCAAGCTTTGGGCTAGAGCTAGGATTAGGGCTTATCTCAATCTAGTATTGCCTTTGCTTCTTCATCACCACCAAAAGTTCTCCTTGTCCTGTTTCCAGTGCCCCTTTACCCTTTCCCCAATACCTCAACTGGCTATCCCTCTTTTACCTGTGCCCAGTGATGAGAGTCAGAATGGAGAGTGGCCCTATTGAGGTCTCTCCTTCTGGGCAGGTGTTGCATATGTTCTCAGAAGGGAGGAGTGGGCTACAAATGGCCTTTGAACAGTGTTCTCATGGGGTTTCATCTCACTGAGAACTTGTTTCTCTGGGGAGTACAGCTCCCAGCTGGGGCCCCCATGGCAAATATTCTTTTAATCTGAGAAGGAACCTCATTCTCAGCTCCCACAAGAAACAGGATCTTTCAAAGATCATCCCCTCTTGAACCAGCTTTTGCTTTGGGAGTGATTGGGGAATGCAACACTCTCTTATTAGGACTGAATTCTTTCTCAGCAATAAGTCTGGAGTCTTCTGAGTGATCTGTAGCCCCAAACTCCTGAAGTTAGGGCCTTGGAACGTCTGTTCTTCAGGCCTTTCTTGTGCCTACAAGAGTCTGCTACAAGCTTGCTGTCGCTTTAATAGGCTAAGCTGGTGTTAAAAGCTAAGGGGTGTGTGTGTGTGTGTGTGAGACAGAGAGAGAGAGAGAGAGAGAGAGAGTGAGTTGGTGTATGTGGCATGAATGGGTTAAAAACATATTTCTTAGCAATACTGAAGGCCAGAGAATAGATATTTTGAGGACTATGTTAAAAGAAAATGGCAAAGAATCAGATGTGCTGAAATTCTAAGATAGGCCAGTGTCTCAAAGCAAGACTGAGAGACCCTCGGAGATAAACAGGGATCAAAAAAAAAAAAAAAAAAAGCAAAAGGCAACCTTCATGATAATACATAGGAAAGGATGTCTGGATTGAAAAATCATCCCCCTTTGCCCACTTTGATCAGGATTCACACTCATAAAACACTGTGAGCTGTAATTTTGAAGAAAATGAGGTATGAGTATGGCTGGACAATTAATATTGATTTGAGGGAGCACCTCAGTTGGCAACTAAATACTAGTCTAGCACACAGACTTTCACTGTTTGTTATTCACTGATGCTTTCCTCCCATTTTTCAGATTTTTTTTTACCAGTTACATAAAATGGCAATCCTTGTACAGGTAGTATTTGTTTTTTAAATAGGTTCAATTTATTGCCAAAAGAGAGAGATTAATTGTAATGGTTGTCTCCACAGATAATAAAGCACTTGCAAACCATGCAAACATTACTTATTAGCTTTTATTAATATGCAGCCACACAAATGAAACAAGTATACCCATTGACTTACTAATGAAGGTGTTGTGAGCAGAGCCACTGTCCCCACTTCTCTGGTCAGACAAGGGCATATGGAGATGGTGAATCTTTGTTTTGGCATGCAGAGAAGAGGTCTCTGAGGATACAGTGAGATGCTTTCCTTCTTCATATAGATTGCAGACATCCAACTACTTAATTCCCATTTTCTACAACATTAAATAGTTTTCTGTGGTGTTCACATGCATTCAGATGTTAATGATTCCCCATTAGACATTCTTATCCTCATACTTATCTTGAAGTTCTGTTCATCTTCTGTCTCTTGTCTTTGCTTTGGGATATTCCAGCTTATCCTGGGATGCTGGCATTCTTGGATTCTCAGTTAGTTCTCTTTCCTTTCAGTGCAGTTCTCAGTGTAATTGTGCATTAGCCTTTGATACCTCTGTGAAACTGTCTTTAATTCATTAATGTGCTAACTCTCATATTCTAGAACAAACAGGTTGAGGAGGAGGCCCCTTGAAGGCAACTAACTCTTTCTAGAAGTAGTTGGGCCTAGGAAAGCTCCACTGGTCCATGATCACTGTGTAGCACTGGGTGATTCCTCTCCAGACACCACCACCATCCCCTCCCCAACCTTGCTAGAAGTTAGATAGCCTTGTATGCCAAAGCCTAATCAGTGGCTCACTGAAAGTATCTTCCCAGTCTGATTGTTCTCTCTGTGCAAGTCAGAAGAGAGCATCCATTGATGGCACTGGGTGTATGTGTGTGTGTCTGTATGTGTACTTGCATGTGTGTCTGTATGTGCAGCTTGTCAGTAAAGGGCCATGGGGCTCCCTTGTCTCTGGGAACATTCTCCTGAGTGCTCCAACTGGGCCTTTTACCTTCAGAGTTGACAACATGGTGGCCATGGATCCTACCAATTAACCTCAACCTTGTCTCCCTCAGACCATGAGAAGAACCGTCTCTGTAAAAGTGCTGACTACATGAACCTGCACTTCAAGGTTAAGTGGCTTCACAATGAATATGTTCGTGACCTGCCTGTCCTCCAGGGGAAGGTGCCTGAATACCCAGCGTGAGTCAAGCTACAGGAGTGGGGGGTGGGGGTGGGGGTAGGGAGGTTGAGGCTGGAGAGAAGGATGATTTAGGCACTCAGCAGCAGGCAGAGAAAGGTGAGAGGGTGCCCAGTCTTGGATGGGGGTGGGGCAGAAAAGGAACCCAGGGCATACGGTCAGCTTCTCTCACTGGTCTCCCTACCCCTGCCACAGGTGGTTTGAGCAATTTGTGCTGCAGTGGCTGGATGAGAATGAGGATGTGTCCCTGGAATTCCTGCACGGTGCTCTGGAGAGAGACAAGAAAGATGGGGTAGGTCGTGATTGGGTGGAGCTTCTCTCTTTTGAGATGGGCTGGATAACTCTGCCTAATGCTTGACTACTTGGCAAAAGCTTGGATGTGGTGGCTGTTCAGTCACCTGAACAGCCTAAAGGCAAAGGGGTTTTGTCATCCAGCATGTATCATCACAGGAATGGAGGGTCCATGAAACCCCGCTCTGGAGTTGTAGCTAGGAAAAATGACTTGTCATTTTCCTTGGGTGACTGGGAGGCTGAGGGGACCGAGGGACCTTTCTTCTCCCATGACCTAGCCCCAAGGACTGTGGGGAATGACCTGTGCCTGGGACTTTCTTCAGTTCCAGCAGACATCAGAGCATGCGCTCTTCTCCTGCTCCGTGGTGGATGTCTTCACACAGCTCAACCAGAGTTTTGAAATCATCCGGAAATTGGAATGCCCAGACCCTGGCATCCTTGCCCATTACATGAGGAGATTTGCCAAGGTGATCATCATCCCTGACCCCTCCTTCAGTCACAGGCTTCAGTCTTGCATCAACTCTTCTGCTTCCTGCTTGTCAGGTCTAGGCTTTATCTCAGTGGCCCACTAAGAGGGGAGATGGACCCATGAGGGTATCCCAAGTCTGTGACCTTTTGCTCATGCTTGGTGCTGAGGTTAAAAGATTCTTAGAGGCTTAGGTAAATGGATACTGGCCACTGCTACAAGGCTGCCAACTAGGGTCTGGACAGATTTTCCCCCATCTCTTGCAATTAGTCTGTGGTTGGGGGCTCTATGGCTGTTATGCCCTTTGGGTGGAAGCAGTGCTAGGTAATATTTCTGTGGGTGTGCCCTGTGGCTCTCCTTCAGGTCCCCACTTGGGCTAGAGCAAAGCTGACAATTCCTTCTCTCCCTGTCCTCCCTCCATGCTCTCCTCTCCACAGACCATTGGAAAGGTGCTGATGCAATATGCAGACATCCTAGCCAAGAGCTTCCCATCCTATTGTGACAAGGAGAAACTGGTAAGAGGCAGCCTTCTCCAAAGGGGGGGGGGAGGGTTTTTTCTTGGCTCACAAAGGAAAGAACAAAGTCCTGAGGAAGTCATGTGGCTGGATTGATGGCTGACCTGCTTGGAGGAATCCTCTGCTGTTCACACTCCTAACCCTTATGCCACTGACTCCCTTATATTTCAAATCCAGCCCTGTGGTCCTAGCTTATCCACTGGCATGCTTCATTCATTCCTTTTCATTATAATTTCACCCTGGCCTGAATTTTTGTCTGATGTTTATAAGCAATAAATGTAAAAGTATTCTTTGTTTTCCTTCTATTTTCCCATCTAGACAAGGTGTTTAGCAGTGAGAGGCCTTCTGTCTCTCCTGGAATGATTGAGACTTAAGATAGGAAGTACCCAGACCAATCTTCATTACCACCTCCTTGTTGAGCCACTATGAGCTTTGGGGGTGCAAGTGGGAAGGAGACTACAGATCTAGTGACCCATTTGTCCTTCACTGTCTGGGAGTTGGGAGGGTCTCAGCAACTCTGCCCTGTTTCTTTAGCCTTGCATCCTAATGAACAATGTGCAGCAGTTGAGAGTACAACTGGAGAAGATGTTTGAGGCCATGGGGGCCAAGGAGGTAGGACCTGAAGGGCAGACTTCCTCCTACCATTCCTTCCCAACAGGCCAAAATAAGATGCTGCTGTGGGGAGGGGGGAGGGTTCTCTCCTGACCTGGTGGAAATGCCTGGCCCAGAGCTAAGGGAAAGGGCTGGAGTGGTTGGGTGAGTGTTGGGAGTTGGCAGGGTGGCAGGGAGGAGGGACCGAGGTAGTAGAGAAGATGAGAAGGCACTGGGAAGGTTGAGTTTGGGGGGATAGAGGATCCACTGGGTGAAGAAGGGAAGGAAGTAAATGTTACTATAGCTGGGCCATTCTCCTGTGTCTGTAGCTAGATCCTGAGGCAGGAGACAACCTAAAGGAGCTTCAGGTGAAATTGAACACAGTTCTAGATGAGCTCAGCACAGTATTTGGGAACAGGTAAGTGGTCTAAGCTACCTAGCTTGGGGTGGTCTTTGCCTCTGTCCCAAGCATCTTCTAGCCATTTCATAGTGGTTGGAGGCATTAAGAACGTTGTATCCCTCACTATGGGAGCAAGGACATTGCTGGGGCAAAGTTCCTGGGGCAGTTGGAAGAACAGGAACTGGGTGGAACTTCCCCTTAGAATCTCCAAGGGGCAGATAAGAGCAGAGATCTGAGCTTAATATAGTGGGTATTTAGTTTTCAGACACAGATTGATGAGTGTGTTCGACAAATGGCTGATATCCTGAGTCAGGTGCGTGGCCCAGGGAACATGCCCCCCAATGCCAGAGGCTCAGTGGCTCAGGACGCAGACAGTGTGCTCCGACCCCTCATGGACTTCCTCGACAGCAAGTGGGTAGAGTATTTGAGGCAATTCTCTGGAGACTGGGCATTGGCTATGGGAGCAAGTAAACTAAGGGAAAGAGACTTTTGGGGAAATATAGGGGGAGGATCTCTGAGGTGAGCTAAGCCTTGCTGTGTCCTCTCTTGGCCCCTGTTCTTGCCATTCTTAACCTGATGCTCTGGCTTTCCCCAGCCTCACACTCTTTGCCACAGTATGTGAGAAGACAGTGCTGAAACGTGTGCTGAAGGAGCTGTGGCGGGTGGTGATGAACACAATGGAGAAAACGATTGTACTGCCACCACTCACAGACCAGACGGTGAGGCCTGCCCCTGCTTACTGGCTGGGTAGTGAAAGAGACACCCAAAATATGAATGATTCCCCATTCATCCATCCTAGTTCACCAACCAGGTAGTGAAGCTTTCACTGACCAGACAGTGAGTTCTCTCTGTACCCATCCAGAGGACCAGGGTACTCCATTTTCTATGTGTGTATATTTTTTAAAAACAATCTTTGTTGTCATCTCCTTTCTGCTCAGGGTCCCCAGTTGATCTTTACAGCTGCCAAAGAGCTAAGCCATCTCTCCAAACTCAAGGTATGATGCTCCAGGGCTTGGAGGTGAGGATGGGTATTCTGGGTAGGGTGGGGAACGGGATGGGGAGAGGTATCATGGATACTAAGCATGGAGCTCAGGGGAAGTAGTTCATTTCCTAGGCAATTGGTCCTTCCCAGGAAGATAACAGTGATAATCATTTTTGGTGCAATCCAGACAGGCTGGAGTTCAGGGATGGTAGAGGAGGGAGCTTTCAGTTGTCTAAACTAAAGAGGACGAAAGAGGATGTTATAATGGAGTTGTATGTTGGTAGAGGGTGGGGAGTGGCCATTCCATTTAACTTCTGATCTCGTGTCTTCCTGTGTCTGGGATTCTAGGACCACATGGTACGGGAGGAAACACGAAACCTCACCCCAAAGCAGTGTGCTATCCTTGATCTCGCATTGGATACCATCAAGGTGGGATGAAAGACTCTTCCTGATTTCTCTCCACTTAGCCCACCTCGCCCACTCCCTCCTTTCCTTCACAGCCCAGCACAATTTAGCCTTCACTGAGTCAGGAGCTTCTCACATCCCTTTATCCTAGCTCAGCAACTTTCACAATAACATCAAAAATAGGTTAAGCTAAATCTCACCAAAACACTAAAATATTACCATAGTGGTGACTGATTTTTGGAAAAATAAATCCCCTCCACTCTCTTAAAGGTAACATGAAGAGTAGCCCACCTGGGAACCTTTAGTACTTATCCATTCAGGAAATGCTTTCTAGGAGTCCCAAGGCCCTTGTGACCTTTCATTAAGGGGAGAGATAGTAGGTAGTTGGTGTTGCTTTTTCCTGACTTTCTGGGGGCCCAGACTTTCTGGGTGAGCTCAAGGGAAAATGTGTGAAATGGGTGGGGAATTGGCACACATCAGGAATGCCCTTTCCTTTCTCACACATACACCCTTGTTCTACCAGGCATGGCACAAGTCTCTGGAAGGGGCACATGAGGAATAACTTCTTCCTGCCTGCCCACTAGATCTGGCTGTAGAACAGAAGAATTTGGGGTCGAATGGATGATTTCAATTACCATTATAAGCATCATATTGCCTTAGGTCTCTGTAAAGGCCTAATTTGAACTTTTAGTCAGAATTTTTGTCATTTTCTGACAAAACAAGTGCCCCTGCAATATTGGTTCACCTTATTCTTTTAGGTGGGGAATGCCCCTATGTTATTGCCTCCAATGGGAGGACTTTTAAAGACATTCTTTAGCTGTACTAGGCAATGTTCCTTCTCTCCCCAAGTCCAGCATTCCATAGCTTAAAAAATGAAGATGAAGATACCATTTTTCTTACTAGTTCAGTGACCCAGTTTGCCTGAGTACTGAAGTCAAACTTATCTATGACATAATAATAATTAATAATGATAGCTGATATTCATATAGTGCCTATTATGTGCCAGACGTTTTACAAATATCATCACATTTGATCCTCACGACAACCCTGGGAATTAAGTACTAGATGAGGAAACTGAGACAAACAGAATGACTTGCCCAGGGTCATACTTCTAGTACATGTCTGAGGTCACATTTGAACTCATGTCTCCCTGACTCTAGCTAGGCCCAGTGCTGTATCCACTGTGCCACCAGCTGCCTCATGATTGCATCAGTCTATATGTGTATATGTGTTAGTAACCTTAAAGTCATGCCACTATCTTGGTCAAGAACCTTCAGGAGCTCCCTATTGCCACTATATAAAACATATATTTCTGAATTTTAATTTAAAGGCTTTCATATCTACCTTCATCTTACCTTTCCTATTTCACATTACTTCACACGCTAGCCAAACTGGCCTTCTGGCTGTTCCCTAAAGCTTCCTACCTCCGTGCTTTTTTTGGTTGTTATCCATGATTGGAGTGTACTCCTTCCTCATCTCTGCTTCCTGTATCCCCTCAAGGCTGAACTTAAGTGCTGTGGGATGGAATCTCTCCCAATTCTTCTGGTTGCTAATGTTCTCTCCCTCCTTAAATTATACGTGTGTATACACACACACACACACACACACACACACACACATACATACATACATACGTACACACATATGCACAAATACATATGTGTATATATGTACATACCACAGCATTTTGTTCATAGTAGGTGCTTAATAAATGCTTATTGGTTGGGATTGGATGCTACAGAGAGGATTCCTGTCGGACAGAGTGCCCTCTAAAGTCTCTTCTGCCCTTTAAGATTCTGTGATTATGGGTATCATCCTGGATGTGGCACTTACTGGAGTAAGTGCTGCCTTCTGTCTTCTGTTTCTCCACTCCTTTCTTCTAACCTCATTCCTAGCCCCTTTCCATTGATCCTGTATCTAATGTTTCTGAAGCTATAATAAAATCTGGTTCCCTTCCAGCAATACTTTCATGCCGGTGGCAACGGACTGAAGAAAACGTTTCTTGAGAAGAGCCCAGATCTGCAATCCCTACGCTACGCCCTGTCCCTCTACACACAGACCACAGACACTCTTATCAAGACCTTTGTGCGGTCACAGACTGCCCAGGGTGAGGCCTCTGAGGGAAGTGTCCCTTTCATCTGTTTTATATGCCACAACCTCAGCCTCATTTCCCCAAGGACTTAGCATCTCCACTCACTCCCACCACATATTAATGGTACCTAGGGACTCATAATCCCTCCCCTATAGTTCACAGTTTCATACCCCTACCTTTGTTCTTGACCTCCAAGGTCCTTATTCCCAAGCCAAAGCCCATTGACACCTGCCCTTTTCCCCTGAAGGTTCAGTGTCCCCTGAGCCTTGAAGGGCATAGTGTCTCCAGAATCTCTAAATTCCTAAGGGCTCATTATCTCCTTCTTTGCAGTCAGATTAGGGAATCATAGTCTCAAAACTCAATCCCTACTTGCCATAATTTCCTGAATTCAGTCATACTTATATTTTATCCTTTGCTCTAGCCCTCAACATTTAGGGCTTCTCACTACATTTTTCATTCATTTCATAAAAATCTTTTTCCATCTTCTATTCATTGCTCAGTCAAGATATAGACTTTCCAAGAATGTCAGCAGAATCTTTTACTACTACCAAACTATCAGATACATTTTGGCTTCTGTGCCCAATTTTCTTCTTCCTCAGGAGCCTCAGATGGACACCGAAGGGAGAGAAGCCCTTGGCTATTTATAGCCTGGCTGGGGAGAATAGGAAATGAAGGAAAACTTCTATAAAATCATAAAAACAAATGTACTCAGAGCCCTGAGTATTGAAGGCTTGAGTAAAGAAAGGTTAAGAGAGGGGCTGGCCTGAATTCAGAAAAGCATGAGAAGTGGGGGAAAAGAAGGAGAAGATTTTTAACTGGTTTTAGAAGACAGGGGAGACATAAATGGGGAGGGGGGATAAGGGGAAAATACATTTTAAGACTAAAGAAGCCCAAAAGTATAACTGAATGCATTGAGGGGAGGGGCAATAAGCCAATAGGCCTGTATGGAACCAGAGAGGTTGTGCTGAGGGATGAAGAGAGATATAGGCATACATTGGTGTTGATACTTAAGTGTATGCATGTGTGGAGTAAAACTTTGAATTTTGGATAGGGCTTTGAAGGTCCAGGCAAGGAGTGAGGTTTGATGGGATGGGGAATGGGGAGCCATTGCAGGTTTTTTAACATGGAAATGACCTGAAGAAAGCAATGATAGAAGTCTGCATCCTAACCATGGTGATGGGCATGGGGTGGGGGAGTAGGATGATGTATAAAGGAACTCTGATAACTAGCCAGAGCTATTTGGGTATTGCTAGAAGGGAAAGAGTCAGGGGTTGGAAGGGGATGGTATGAGAAACCTGGACTCTCAGGACCCCTAGAGATCATCTATGTATTCTATAACCCTCTCCTTCTTGGTTTAGTGAAGGCAACAATACCTCCTCCTCCTCTTTGCCCTGTTTTTCAGTTTTCCTGTGTTCCAACTATTCCCTTTATAGAACGTGGCAGGAGTAGTCCTAGTTCTGTTGCCATATCGACCTTTAAGCTGTGGGGCTCAAGTCTTCACTCCCAGATGGATCTGTGGGTCAGAGATACCTCTCCCATCTGCCCTACTCACAGGCCTCTGGGAAATGGTGGTTTCTGTCCATAGCTCTAACTCTCAAGGGTCTAGAAAGTCGGGGACCCTGAAGATTTATGTGGGTCCTTAGAGATCAGCTAGGTCAATCCTCCACTGCATATTTTACATTTGAAGAAACTAGTTACACTTTAAAATTCGTTGCCCCTTTATTCTGTATTCTCTGCTGCTTGCAATCTGACCTCTATTGTATGACAAACTGTCTTTGATGGTGGACCTCTGATATCTAATCTCTTAACTTCTGGGACTATTTTTTCCTTTGTAAAGTTACTCTGATTGGTGTACCTGATTACTTGCTAATTTCTCTTCTCTCTCTGTTCTGCTGCTGCTGCCAACACCGCTTGACTTTTCTTTGCTAACCCAGTGCATGATGGGAAGGGTATTAGGTTTACTGCAAATGAGGACCTACAGCCGGAGAAGGGTATGTTATTATCTGACATGGTCCCAAGAATATCAGCCAGGCCTGTCCTTTTCCCTCTCCCTCTTCCCAGTGGACTGGTATGTGCTGCTTATGCCAGGGATGGGGGTAGGGTGCTAGTGAGGGGTAATGGTGGAATGAAATAATTCAGAATCTCTGTTCTGTGTCATGGAAATACGACATATTCTGACAGCCCAGGAGAGGCTTAACAATAGTTTTGCCCTGGAATTTAAACGGAGTCTAAGGATGGTGGCTATGCTACAAGAAGCAGCCTCTCCTGTTTATGTGTTCCAAATTGGAAGCAATAATGGAGAAAGAATTCTAGAGCAGACCTGAGATTTTCTTATTTAAAAAAAATTTTTTTGGCGGGGGGATGCTTTCTGGTCTTTGGGAGCAGGAGTTGTTGTAAAGCACGTTGAGGAAGGTAAGATTTCTGCCCGTGATTGGAGGTGGGGCCAAGTGTACACATTGTCCCAATACAGATCTCAGGGTGCATGCAGTTCTTAGGTCAGGCCACACGGTGGCACAGTGACTAAATTAAAACATTTCAAAATTTCAATTTTAAAAGAGACCTCAGAAAACATCTCATCTAACCATTGCCTAAGTCATCCCTTCCATAATATACTTGACAAGTAGTCATTCAGTCTTTGCTTGAATTCCAGGAAGGAGTAACGCACTACCTCTAGAGACTGACCATCCCATTTTGGGATAGCTCTAATCATTAGGAATTTCTTCCTTATATCAAGCCTAAATATATCTCTCTGCAATTTCCACTGATTATGACTAGCTCAGCGCCCTGTGTCCAGGCAGAATGAAAACATTAGCTATTTGTATTATCAAGTTACAAATACCAACTGAAAATGTGGGATAAGCATTCCTTCTATGTCTTTATTCATGTCATTGATAGAAGTTGCTAAATAGCATAGTGCTAAATATACATTCTTGAGCTGTCTGCTTTAGAATTCCTTACAAGCTGATATTGAACCATTAATGACTATCTTTGGTCTTTGGTCATTCAACTATTTCTGAATCAAACCAATCGTACTCTTGTCTAGTGCGCATCTGTTCTTGCTACAAAGATGCCACAGAGGCTAAGAGTTTGCTAAATTCTAGGTAAACTGTGTCTATAGCCTTCCCCTCATCTATCTGTTTATCAACTTGATCAAAAAAGAAAATAAGTTTAATCCAGCAAAACCCTGTTCTTGATGATTTCCTGCCAGATCTTAGTGATCACCAATTATTTTTTCTCCATGTTCACTAACCATACTTTTAGTAATACATTCTAAAATCTTTTTTTTTTTTTTGGCCAGGGATCTAAGTCAAGTTCTCTAGCCTATCAAGTGCTGACTTCCACTCTGCCCTTTTTTTCATTTTTGAAACTTGAGATAACATGTTTCTTTTGCAGTCTTGTCTACTACTGTTCTCCAGGATCTTTGAGAGGCCATGCTCAGTATGCACAGCCACCAGGTCTTTCAGATTCCTGACATATAGTTCATTTGGACCTCATGACTACACCTCATTTAAGGAAGCCAGGTCATCCCTGCTTCTATTGGGTTTCTACTCCCTAGTCATTTTTGCTCTGCCTTTTTCAGTCAAAGGAGCATTCATCCTCCTTACAGAAAAAAACAGAAGTACAATAATAGGCAAATAGCTCTGCTTTCTTTCCACCATAGGTTAACATTTTACCCATCCTAAAGAGCAGCAGTGCTGGGCTTGTTTTTGATACTCCTTCCTTCCCTTTTCTACCCCTCACCCTGTCCCAATATAGTTCAACTGTTTTTGTTATTCTTACCTTCTTTGTGGTTATTAATCATTTTGAGATTTAGTACTCCTGGTACAGTTCTTGCAGGGCTGTATTTACTTTTGTATTCATCCTTCATTACTTGCTTCTGCTTCCATCTAAGATGGTTGATGAATTCTTTATGAATTTGTATCAGGTATAACATATATACCTGATATAATGTTCTTCTTACCACAATGTAGCTGCTGTCAATAAACCTTGGTGGATATACATAGACAATCTTCTCCTACTCTCTTTCTTTCCAGTTGAAGGTCCTTTTGGTTAGATTTGCAAGACTCCAGGCAAATGTCTTTTTAAACAGCTCTTCTTAGGGCTGGTTTCCCTCCTGGCCTGCTCTTATGTTTAGAAGTCTAAATCTGGTTCTCAAACATCATCTGCTTAACCCTTTCCAAATCTACCTTTCCTTCAGTTGTCACTCATGATGAAAATTCTCCATATTACCCCAAGGTTCTTAGTGTCTTGCTTAATACTTCATAATATTTTCTAGATATTTTATTGCAGTCCCATGAAAAATCCCTAATCTAGACATCCCTGCAGCCTAGCCAGTCTCTTGTGTCCCTGCCTTACCATCAGAAGTGGATAGTAGTCTACAGGTTCTTCTGCTGTGGTGTCTTCTGGAGAATACTGCAGCCTGGGAGTCAAGAATATTTGAAATTCTAGCAAACTCCTGGTGAATCAGAGAGAACTGAGCAGGCAACAATGGAGCCACATCTCTACATGGAATTATCCTCCTAGAGGGGGAAGGAGGACACAGGGATTTGCATTATCAGCCTTACCTTCACTTTTCCCTTCCTTACCTGCATTACATGCTCTCCAGTGGCTGCTGCAAAATGGTTGCTGCTTGGCTTTGGAGCTAGATGGGAAGGGGACTGCCTGTAACTCTTCTTTCACTCTGGGATCCCAGACATCATGGTTTTATTAAGGACTAACCCAGCCCCAAGGCCCCCAGTTGATAGCTTTGAGAGGCTTATATGTCTGTTTCACAGGGTCAGGTGTGGATGATCCTGTGGGAGAAGTCTCTATCCAAGTGGATCTGTTTACACATCCTGGAACTGGGGAGCACAAGGTCACAGTGAAAGGTGAGAAAGGCAAATGGGGAAGGTAGGGGGGATGACGAAGGCCAGAAATCCTTATGAGAAGGGTGAGAGAAGGAGGAGGTTAGGATGAAAGGGGTCCCTCCTTTTTCCCATCCATGGAATCTTCATTAAGCTGCTGAATTTCCTAGGTTCCTTTCAAACTAAACTCTCCTTTTTTTATTCCTAAGCACAGGTTAAGTCTAGAGCATCCATGGTGTCTAATCCCAAATAATGTTCTAAAAAGTCTTCCTTAGTTTCTCCAAGAGGAATGCCATCTAGAGCATAGCAAGGGTCGGGGACGGGGAGAGGGAGGTGAGTATGTTGCATGGACTATGAGGAGTTATTCATACAATTCTAATTGGGCCCTCTCCATTTGGGTAGTGGTGGCTGCCAATGACCTCAAATGGCAGACAGCAGGCATGTTCAGGCCCTTTGTGGAGGTGACCATGGTTGGCCCACACCAGAGTGACCGAAAAAGAAAGTTTACAACCAAGTCCAAGAGCAACAATTGGGCCCCCAAGTACAACGAGACATTTCACTTGTGAGTGGGGAGTATTTTTCAAGGAGGGGAAGATCCTAGGGGTGAAGGGAAGAGTGGTAATGAGGGTTTTATGAGAACTGTGGTTTGTGTTGGGAAATTCAATTGCTCCAGCTAACATGGCCCCACCCTCCTGTACTCACAGCCTTTTAGGGAATGAGGAAGGGCCGGATGCCTACGAACTTCAAGTATGTGTGAAGGACTACTGCTTTGCACGTGAGGACCGGGTGCTGGGGCTAGCAGTGATGCCACTGAGGGAGATGGCAGCCAAAGGTAGCTGTGCCTGCTGGTGCCCCTTGGGCCGTAAAGTTCACATGGATGAAACAGGCCTGACTATTCTCCGGATCCTGTCTCAGAGAAGCAATGATGAAGTGGCTCGAGAGTTTGTGAAACTCAAATCGGAGTCTCGCTCCTCAGAGGAGGGGAGTTGAGTTTGTAATCATCCCATGTGCCAACCTGGGCAACTCTGCCTGCCACCCTTCACATCATCGATTTCCCATCCCTCTCCCTGCCAGGCTCATGGAAGTTTAGCTGTGTAGTAGACTTTGAGCATCTGCAGCCAAGAGGTTGATATCTGATTTTTCAGGAGAAATTCTGAGTGCTAGAGTCCTCTCACAGGGTAGAACTTAGAAAGGGAAGGCAAATCTGGGCCACATAGACTAGGCTGCAGGGGTAACCAGTCAGAGATTTTCCATAAGAAACAAATCAAAATCTCTGACTCTGTTGGTCTAAAGAACTTTCCTTAAGGATTCCCTCTATTGGTGTCTCAATGTACACTTACGCTCTTGCTCCTCATTTACCTACACTCATCCTCCTTTCTTATCTCTTCTCTCCCCATTCCCAACTCCCATTTAAATGAGTCCACACTACCCGTATGAAGAAGTAGGGGGTTCTAGAATGGTTGGTAGTGAGTGTCTGACAAACAGTGTAGTTGGTTAAATCCACAGATGTGCCTGATACCTCTAGTCCAGGGAAACCTCATTGGTAACCCTGAGGATGTCACCAAGAACTGAAGTGCCTGAGCAGAGGCTGCTTTCATCTTGCTGCTTCAAGCCCCAAGGACAAAAGTATGTCACTAAGAACTGGAACTTGCCAGGGATGAGTTATACCCCCCACTCTTGGGCCTTGGCCTGAGAGCAAGTCCTGTTGCCCTTTATTCTTGATCCTTAACACTGAGTTTCCAGAAGCTTTTTAAAGTGTCACAATCAGAACAGATTCACATGGTGCTTAGGAGCCTGGGATGGTGTCTGTAGGTTGGCCTAATCTGTAGGTTGCTGCTATGAATGGGAATGAACATAAGTAGGAGGGGAATGCTGCTTTTCTTTCTGGGCTAGATCCTGAGATAAATCAGTGGCTGCTGGAGTTATATTTGGGAAGAGTTTTCCTGCCCCATATGCCTTCTGTAAATGGTGGTGTTCCACTGATAAGTGGGACGAATCAGTCCCTTACCCCACCGGCCAGCAGGTAGGACTCTTCTTGGATTTTTTTTGAAAAGTATGGACTTTCTTTAGACACTTGTATATGAAATGGGACTTGGATTTCCCTGGCATGCTTCTAGGATTCTTGGGAACTTGTTGTTGTCCATAGATACACTGCCCAAAACACTAAACAAGAAAACAAGGCATTTTTGCTGTTGTTAATCATTGTATGTGCCATTGTTGCAGGAGATTATAGGATAGTCTTTAATAAATTATCTTTTAGCAGCATTTTGTGTGTGGTATTTTTTGATAAAATGTATAAAAAAGTCATGGAAATCATGCAGGCCATTCATTTTTAAATTGCTAATAATAGCTCAATATAAATCATTGTAAAGTTTACAAAGTACTTTGTATAGGTTTTATTTGATTATCACAACAACCCTGTGAGGTGGGTGCTATTATTATCACCTTCATTTTACAGATTACTAAGCTGAGACACTGAGAAGTTAAATGATTTACCCAAGGCCAAGCTAGCGTCAGAGGCAGCTTTTAAATTGAGGCCTTTCTGCCTCCAAGTTCAGTGGTGAATACAACACATAACAAACATTTGCTGTTACTCACCAACTCAGTTTTAGAGGAACTCCAAGGAACTGTGGAGCAAGTAGTATGATGTAGAGCAGAGGTGTCAAACTGGGTTAATGGGCATGCCCAACTGAACTAGATTAAAATGTAATTGGAAAATGTTTAACAAAGTGTATAAAAATATAATACAATATAGCCAATGTTAATTTGTGGTTTTTGAGCTCAATGTGCTGCCCAGAGAGCCATTTCTATTTGAGTTTGACACCACTACTACAGCACTGGACTTGGAATCAGAAGGACCTGGTTTCAAATTCTGCCTAGCTTTGTCACCCTGGGCAAGTCACTTAACCCTATTTGCCTCAGTTTCCTCATCAGTAAAATGAGCTGGAAAAGGAAATTGCGAACTACTCCAGTATCTTTGCCAAGAAAATCCCAAATAGGGTCATGAAGAGTCAGACACAACTGAAAACAACTGAACCACAACAAAATAGCCTGTAGGGGAAAGTGAACCAGATAGTTTCCTGGGACCCAGAGGTAGAAGTGGGGTTCATGGCTCCCTGAAACATGGTTCATCTCTGTGCCTCCTGCTGACTCTAATGATTGCCAGAATAACAGCAGCTGACTTTTGGATAGTGTAGTTAGTACATTCATTCAATAATCATTTGTCATTTACCAGCTGTGTGGGAGATACTGGGGATACCAGGAGACTGAGTTCTTGCCCTCAAAGACCTTACTTTCTATGGGAAGATGCAACATTTATATATGGATAAGTACATAAATAATTCCAGAAGAGAGAAAACCCTGGGAATCAGGAAAGACTTTTCATAAAAAAATAGCAATTGGGTTAAGCATTGAAGGAGGCTGTGGATTCTGCTTTAGGAAGCAGAGATGAGGAAGAAATGATTTCTAAGAATATTGGGCACCAGAGGGGGTTGTCTTCCCCAAACTCACCTATGGCAGAGCTAGAATTTGCACTCGGGTTCTTTGAATCTAAATAATAAGAGCTAACATCTATCTAACACTTACTTTGTGCAAGGTATTGTGCTAAGCATTTTACAATTATCTGATCTGATTCTCACAACAACCCTGGGATGTAGGTGGTATTATCTCCATTTTACAGATAAGGAAACTGAGGCATCTAGTAAAAACATCTGCTTTTCCTTTCCACTGCCCCACACTGGCTGGAAGGATTCCCATTTTATGACGCCTCTGTAGTTAAATAGGTGTCAGTGACTGTGGACACCTGGCCTCAAACAGGTGTCAGTAGCCCTCCATAGAGGGATGAAACCAAGGCCTGAGGAAGCCGAGCTAAGCTTGGTGGGAATTCCAAGGTGTAGAGAAGAGGGGCGGAGCCCGCGGAAGCTGCGCCTGCGCACTGGGCCTCGTTTGGGTGGGAATTCTGAGAAGACGTCGCGGGCGACAGGGAGCCCCAGACCAGAGCTGGGTTTGGACTGGAATTGGGAAACGTCGCAGGCGACGGGTGAGTGACGAGTGCGGCCTGGGAGGGTCCTGACAACCTTCAGTGAGGGGGCTGGGGGTGGGTGGTACTTTGTCCCCAGGACGCCCCTCTATCTCGTCCCTAATACCCCAGGCCCCACAGGGACCCTGCTCCCCATGGGACGCCTCCCCAGGGAGATTCCTGCCCCCCCCACCACAGGCCACAGGAAGTGGTGACCTCCCCTGGGCCTGGGTCCGGGCCCCTCAGGGCAGCAACACCTGTTGGAGCGTCTAGGACCCTGACGTCCCGCGGGGAGGGGGTGGAGGGATTCCTTAGTTCGTGTTTGTCCAGACTCTGCCCCTGTGGTGATTTGACGAGGTTTGGGGATGTTTTTAAATCATGGAGGTTTGCAGACCCTAGTTTTCTCCAAGGTGGTTCTAAGCAAAGGCAGCAGAAGTGTCGCCAGACAGTTTGCATATTGTGTCCCCAGATCCCTAGTCTTTTACAAGCTCTGTAACATCTTTGTGAGGCTTGGTGGTCCAAGTCTGTTTCACAGATAATAGGTTTTAGAGTTGGAAGAGACTTTAGAGATAATCTGATTTCATTCAGGGACAGAATTTGCCTGTAAGTAGGCACGTGTAAAAATTAATCCAGTAGAGAAAGCTGTTTCTAGAAATTGGAAGTGGGAAATAAATTGAGGGGTCGGGTGTCCAAAGGCACAACAGTGGCAAATAGGTGAACCAGGATTCAAACTTTGCCTTCTGACTCCAAATCCAGTGCATTTTTTACCATAGGAGGCAGAAATGAAACTCAGATCTACCTATTTTAGAAAGATCACGTAATCCATTTTTTGAAGTAGTATTCGAACTATTGAGCCCTTAGCTCCTCATATTTTAAAGGCAAATGTACTGTGAGCTTCCCTTTTGAAGAGAAGAAAGACATGACAGGTTCTGACATACAGAATCTAGAAATGATTTACGATTTGTTTTGGGAATCATGTTTTTGGTTATAATCCATCCCCCACCCCCCACAGAAGCACTTGTAAACAAACTGCAGGTCTTTAAACAACAAAGACTCTTGAATGTGGATGCTTATATCCTGTACTATTAAGGTCTGTTCAGAATGGTAACAGAGGATTTTGGGGGCCATATTCAAAGTCCAGTCAAAATGCTAATAAATTGCTTTTGGGTGTGAATAAGAATGTGTTTTTAATGGTGACATTATGAAGAATCCCACAAAATGAAAAAACAGTCAGAATATAAGTTCTGATATCAGGTTTGCTGTGCTTTTTATTGCCTGTTGATACTTGACGTATACGTATATGTGCATATTTTATATATACATATATGTTATCATTTCTTTGCAGATGATTCCTAGATCTTTATTTTCAACCTGAGTCTGTCTCTTAAACTCTAATCCTCTAATCTGCCTTTTGTATATCTGAATTGGATGTCTTTTAGGCACCTCCAAATCAGCACATCCAAAATAGAACTCTTGTCTTTCCCCTAAAATCTTCCTCTTTTCCCAACCATATTATTACTGTCGAGGGCACCACCATTTTCCCAAGTCATTCAGACTTACAACCTCAGTGTTAATCCATTCCTTACTCATTCACACTACACATCCAATTTTTGTCAAATCTTGTCATTTTTATCTTCATATCATACATATCCCCTTTAGCTCTGTTCACACAGCTGCCACCCTAAATGCAGACTCTCATCACCCTACACATGGACTACTGCAATAGACTTCTGGTTAGTTTCCCACCTCTGTATATGTAGAATGTTAGTGCGTTCAGAGCAGAGATCATGTGTTTGCTTTTCGTTGTATCCCTAGTCCTTAGCACAGTGCCTGATAAAGTAAATGCTTGATAAATGCTTGTCAACTAATTACTTACCATGTACAGATTAAATTGAAGATTGATTATGAATAAAGATGGAGAAGGAAGGTGAAAGCACAGAAGGAACATTTAAGTTTTGATTATTTGAATACCTGATTATTCAGTTCAGTAATCATCTTTGCTTCCTGTTTCTTTTAAAAATGTTTTCTGTCTTTTGATCATTCTGCTATTCTTTAGTAACCCGGAGGAAATAACTGATTTTTTAGGCAGGTAGGTGATGTGGTGGATAGAACACTGGGCCTGGAGTCAGGAAGACCTGAGTTCAAATCCAGCCTCAGACACCAGTGTGACCACAGGCAAATCACATAACCTCTCTTTGCCTCAATTTCCTCAACTGTAAAATGAGAATAATAAGAGAGATAATATTTGTAAAGCACTTAGCTTTCTGTCATTTAGTAGGTGTTTTATAAATGTGTAATCCCTATTCTTTCCTGATCTAAGCTTTACCCTGATATTGCAATTTGTTAAAAGTTTAGAAATAAAGTATAGTGAACGAGATGTAAATTATATATTAAAAGTAGGGATTTAGATTTTTTTTTCTTAAAAGGAAAACGATAAACAAATGCTTTGTATACACAGAGACCAAACAGTAGAAAATGACTGAAAAAGTAGGTTGGAGTTATATTTTAAAGTGCTTTAAATGTCAGGTTGTGGAGTTTGTATTTAATCCTAGAGGCAATAGTGATCCACTAAAGGTTTCTGAGTGGGGGAATAACATAGTCAGACTTGTTCCATGAGAAAATTGTCTTTGAAGTCATGTGGAGGATAAATTGTAGAGAGGAAAAACTTAAGCGAAAAAGATAAAAGAGAAAATTATTACGATTATGGAGGTAGAATCTATATGTCTTGGCAATTAATTGGATATGGGGGAGAGGGACTGAAGAAGAGAGAAAAGTCAAGGAGGAGGGCCATAGGAAGCAAACTCTTCTCTCTACTGCCTTATCTCACAACTTCTTATTTCACAACTCCTTGACACCATTTCCCACCGTTTCCTCCTTTACTTCAAGCCCCATTGAAAAGATGCCTTTTCTCTTTGTAAAATCCAATCCTACTGTTTGTGTCCTGGATCTCATTCCTTCCCATCTTCTCCTGCAGATTGCCCCCATAATCATCCCTTCTCTAATTTTTCAGTCTCTATTCAACTATTGGTTCCTTTCCTACCTCCTATAAATATGCCCAAGTCTCCATCCTTAGGGAAAAAAAAAATAACATACTAGATCTTACCATCTTTGCCAGCTTCTATCTCTTTCCCCTTTTTTAGTCAAACTCTATTAAAAAGCCATCTTCCTTTTCTCATTCTTGTAAGTTCTCTGTAGTCTGACTTCCAACCTCATTACCCAATTAAAACTGTTCTCACCAAAGTTATTT